CAATTAGTGCAGTCATGCTATACAAACCGCCGCAGACAGTTAGTACTTTGTATATTAGTATTTTTCTTATCGGATACTTATTTTCGGAGATTGTTGGTATGGAAGCCTCAGAAATATATATCTAAGCAGATCGTAGGCCAAAATCAACGAAGGAAGCGAAAGCCAGTCACCCAATCACCTAATACAAAAGAGCGTTAGCTGTCCTTGCTCAGCGAAAACCTATTTCGCCTAGAGAGCGAATTTTTCGGAGTATCAACCCAGACTGGTGATACTCAGATCATCCAGACGCGTATGAGAAGAGCTGGTAGGGCACATGTTTTCCAGTGATGTCATGGTAGAAAAGAATGCCTACGGGAAGCTGCGTAGACCATCCTGGCAGACGTGGATACTGCCGTAGAAACGGTGGACTGTCTGGAACACCGCCTGGAACACCGCTACGCCCTCGGAATAACGATCCTCCGAGCCGTGTCCCTGAATGGAAATAGTATACAGACGGATTAGGAAAGTTTCTGGTCAGTGAATAGGGTCCCAGACAGTTCTTTGTCTTCCAGTAGTATATCTATTTCCTCCTTAGCGCGAAAACGTGGGATCGTGGGTATTAGACCTGTTGAATCTGTCCTTGACTGGTATGTTGGAGCCAATTCCAGAAGGCACGGTAATACCAGTACTGATCTGGTAGGAGATAGTGCTAACTTATATATAGCCTCTAGCCCCTACAGGTTCTGCTAATATAATCCTAAAACTATATCCTATACTATAACTGTAAGAGTCGTTATCAGTGGCAATTAAGCAATCTGGGGCTGTATGGCGCCAGATTCGAGGCATGTGCCTTCAAGCCACTCATACCAGCAACTGCCAAAGATATGTTGTATTGATCATCTGGCCTGACTGTGTAGTTCTCTCTAGATTTACTCGTCTAATAACTTTAAGAGACGTTTCTTCACCACCACACCCGCCACACGGGCTGTCGCCTCCTCGACAACAATTAGGTACCTGAGCCCTAACTTGTCAAACATTTCTACAGCATACTCCAGGGGTGCCTTTGCTGACACGGATAATGGACTCCGGTTAATGAGCTCGGAGAAGATGCCATCCAGAAGGTTGATGTTACCATCTTCATCCAGCCCGGCAACAGCATCCAGCGCATCGGCAAGTTCAGCCTCTGTAATGTATCCGTGGCATAAGCCTTGAGTATTCACAAACACGAGGCCGGCATCCATCAAACCTCGGACTCTGAGGCCTTCCAGCTTAGCTCGGAGAATGGATGGTGCGACATGATAGTTGGGGCCAGTAAACACGGTTATTGCCTCCATCGTCTCGGTGGGGGGGATGAGGGCTTCGACCAAGGCAGTCTCTCCGGTGGCCCTAAGCTCCCTGACTTTGGCAAGGGCTCTCTCTGAATCCAGGAAAGGATGGCCCTGCAAGTGCTGCGCGAGATCGTACACGCCATCCGCGCAAATGCGATCGGCGACCCATTTCGCCGTCAGGATGGCGATCATGAACGGTGGAATGAACTTGACCTCACCCGTCAGCTCAAACATGATGACGGCCAAGCTGACTGTCACCCTGCTGATCCCGGCCAGGAAGGCGGCCGACCCGACCATGGCGAATATGCCCGGCGAGATGTTTGGTATCAGTTGACCCACCATGCGTCCAAACAATGCACCTGCATCGAGGGCAGGGATGATGATGCCTGATGGCACCTTGCAACCAAACGTGATGGTGGTCAAGATAAGCTTGATGATTGTCCCCGAGATCAACCAGGCGTAGTATTCGCCTTTTTCATCAAGAGCCTCTTGCTGGCAGATCCAGTTCTCCGTCACGACATTGCAGTCCACCAGCAGACGCTCCATGACGATATCACCAGTATCTCGGATCATTCGATTGGGGTACTGGAGCAGGGTCGTGAGCAAGACCACCAAGGCCACCTCCAAGACTGGACTTCTCTTGATCAACCCGAGCTGACGAAATGACTTGGACCACGCGAAGTTGGCCTGGCAGAAGACGCCCCCAAACACACCGCCGCAGATGCCGAGAAAGATGAATACCACATAGTGAGTGACATCATAGTCGACGCCGTAGTTGGTCTCAAAGAGAACGAGCTGGCCAGTCCCAGCCGGGTCCAGCTCCTTGAGGGCTGCCGCGGCGACAAGGGAGCAGAGAAATGACCGCCAGAGGACCCGGCGTGGGAAATAGGTGCTAATTTCCTCGTAGCTGAAGAGCACGCCGCCAATCGGCGCGCCGAAGGCGACGGACAGACCTGCAGAACAGGCCACGGCGAGCATCTCTCTCATCTTTCGCTCATTTGCCGCGTACTTGGGGACGAGCGATCCCACGAGGTACCCCACGCAGGTCGAGATGTGGACAAACGGGCCTTCCTTGCCCAAGCACATGCCCGTGGCCACGGCAAAGACGGCCCCGACAGCCTTAACCACTAGGACTTTGAGATCCAGTAAGTGCGGGATTTCAAAGCCAGAGAGGATAGTCTTGATCTCCGGTATTCCGCTACCAGAAGCCAAGTACAGGATCTTGCCCGTGGCAACGTTGTCACTCTTCTGAGACTGACTCTGATCTATGCCGTTGCTTGCCTCCGCGGCAGGCATGGTCGCCTTGGTCGTCATTGTCACGCCGACGGAAATGAGGCCAAATAGTAGGGCGAATCCGACATAGATAACGTATGCCGAGCCAAAACCTTGGGCCCAAGGCGTCCACTGGGAACAGGAGCCATCAAACTCGGCTACCGAACAGCACGCCCTGCGGTTAAGCCAGATGCTCCTTGCACAGTACCCTTCCTTCCAGTCTGCCACCGTCTCGACACTCACGTCCACGGCAAAGGCAACGCTGGCAGTCAGGATGCCAACGGCAAAGGCTGCCACCCAGCCCTGCGTCAAGTCCCACCAGACAACCACACGCTTCCGGATGCTGTAGCGGGGTGGTGACTCGACCTGGCCGCGCCGCACGCTGTCCTTGACCAAGCCATGGAGCCAATCAATTGTGGAATAGCTGTTGTACGGGAGAAGGTCGCCATTGTAGCTGGAAGCTCTGACGGAACGTCCATCCTTGGGCGTGTGGGGAAACGGGGTCGGTTGGTTCCTAAGAAGAGGTGTTGACTCTGTAACTTTGCCGGGGTCGCCTGTCGGGTTATCTGTCGCCATGGCTGTGAGTCTCCTAACTGTCCCGAAGCGCGGGAGGCTCGCAGGCTTAGGGGGAGGCAGTTGAGGACACCAGTACCGCCCAAGGAGAGAAAGGACCAGACGCGAAAGCACTGTTACTATGGTGTTGAGTTGGATGGAGTAATGCGGAGAGTCATGGCCTGCTTAAATTCCATAGGCGAATGCATGGTCCCTCTGCACGCGTGACGCCTAAGATCGGCGCTGGTGACGGATACCAGTCAGCTGATGGCCTTTTTGCCTGTTGATCATTGATCATATGACGACATAAATGAGATCGCCCACCAGCACGTCCACTTATGCGATGCAAGAGGAAAGCTTAATGCTGTCTCGTCTTGATATTCGCCAGAGACGCGGGCAAGCCGCCCGCCGTGAGTGTCCTCCAGCCTCACATAGAACTACACGGTCCATGCATACTTCCACTTCGTTCATATACATAATTTGATTCTTATGTTTATTTATAGAATAAGTGACTATAGAGTTTTGAAAGCTGTTTAAAAAACTAAACTGTATTTTTAAATATTTAATTTATTAAACTATCGTATTAGAAATTTAAAATATTCTATAGTATTTACTGTGTAAACCTTATCATAAATATCTAGTCTATTAAATTCAATTAGTGCAGTTATACTATATAAACCGCTGTAGACTATTATCAATTTATGTACTAAGAGTTTTTAACTTATTGGGTTTATATTATCAGAGAATATTGATATAGAAGTCTTATAGAAAATTAGAAATATATATCTAAGTAGTAGATTGTAGGCCAAAATTAACAAAAGCCGGCCATCTAATACAAAATTGGAGTGTTAGCTGTCTTTGCTCAGCAGAAACTTATTTTGCCTAGAGAGGGAAGTTTTCTGAGTGTCAACCCAGACTCAAAGTATTCAGATATATATAAAAAGCAGTAGAAGAGAGGAGCTGATAAGATGTATATTCTCCAGTAATATCATTGTATAAATAAAAGCCCACAGGAAGCTGAGTAGACCATTCTAGTAAAGACAGTAACCTGAATAGATAGATACTGCTGTAGAAACAGAGGACCGCCTGGAACACTGCCTGGATATACTATGTATCTTCGGAATAGCAAATTAGCAATCATCAAATCCGTGTCCCTGGATGGAAATAGAGTTACACAGGTATACAAACCGATTAGGAAAATCACTGGTCAGTGAATACTAAGGGGCCCCAGATAGTTCTTTGTCTTCTAGTACATCCTTCTCCTCCCCAGCGGTTTAAGTCATGTCGTCTGACATCGATGTACTTCCTTCTTCCCACTTCCTCCATTCTCTAAGACTCCAACAACCTCACAAGCCCAAGTTCAACGTCAGGTAAGTTGCCTTTCCCTTGCTTTTGTGTTCTCAGCGCTTATTAAAACTTCATTTCTCGTCACTGTTCAGGATAATACCAATATTGTGCCTGAGGTAAACTGCTGATGTAGTTGCTATTACTTTATTTTCTCGAAATCCTGGTTAGAAGGGTTAAGGGAGCGAGTGACTAATAGCTCCTTATTTCTTTATACAGAACGATGGTCAAAGTGAGCACATTGCCAAGTGTTTTCGGAGGGCTACTTCAGGCAAGAGCCTCCCTAAGGTTACCATGGAGGTGGATACCCGAAAGAGCACTATGACCGCGAGAAACACTCTGGCCAAGAATTGATGATAGGAAGGGAAGAAGGGATAGTCTGAGCTTACTCGTAGGTATCTCGACGTGGGCCGGATTGGGCATCTTGGCTAATGAGATAGCAGTTCCTGGTTCTAGCCACCGCAGTGGTAGAGATTGAAAGAAGTCCGATTGTGAATCCTAAGGATGAGAGAAATAGTTACAATGTCAATCAGAGGCATATTCGGACAGAGTACGCAGTTTGGCACCGAAACGCCAAAACAACAAAGGAGCCGGAAACCCGATCGCAATACTAATAAAGGCCAGGACGCTGGTACCCCATCCGTAGCCCAGGTCTCTGTACATATACGGCGCGAAAAGCGGAAACCCAAACCCAGCCAAGCTCCGGAGTAGCGCACAGGCAGCCATGGCACTGGCAGCGTAGGTGGTGTAGCTGTCAACGATATAAGTTTGCATCCCTTGCAAGCATCCCATAGTCCCCGCGGAGAAGATGGCGACGCCGATGTTAGGCATTACCCAGTGTCTGTGGCCCTGTACACTCCAACCATACCAGAAGAGACCAATGGTGATCATCCCTGACCCGATGAACATGGTTGGCATACGGAACTCGGGTACTCCGGTACCGGAATTCTCTTCTTTGAGCCTTCGATAGATGCGATCGATGAGGATGAAGTTGAGAAAGAGGCCGATAAATGATCCGATCGCAATTGAGATATAATTGAGGCCAGCAATGCCTTGACTCTCCCCATAGTGAGTACCCCAGACGGCCGGGAATGTGGCCAGCAGGAGGTACGTCGTCCCGAAGAGGTAGCCCATGTACAGCGCGACCACCATCACAATCGGCTGAGTGGTGAACAGGCGCACCGGTCGCACCAGGGCCGCGCTGAACGTGCTGGAGAGGTTTCTGGACCCGATGCCAGTACGAAGCTTGTGGTTCCCTGTTTGTTTGACGAGACGATTCCGTTTCCGGTTGACAAGAGTAGCAGGATGCGACTCATGCAGCCAGACCAAGCCAACCACCTGAATGGCAACGGCGACAGCGCTAGATGACCAGAATACCCAACGCCAGGTCGTATACTCTGCAATAAATCCTCCGGCAATGGGTCCGACCACTGGACCAAGAATTGGGGCGAGAGTGTAGATCCCCATGGCTTTTCCTCGCTCTTCTGGGGTCCAAATGTCCCTACCGACCGGGTCGTTAGTTGGTATTAAAGTATGGTACCTCTCTCCAACTCACCCAATGGCTGCACCTCCAAGTGCCACTGGAGCGCTCCCGCCAATGCCGGCAAGAAAACGGAACACAAATAATTGCGCTGGGGTTTGCGCAAACCCACAGCCGAGATTCCATGCAAAGTACCACAGGTTGCTAATTTGTAGGAGACGCACCCGGCCATAGACCTCAGAAGCCGGACCGAAGAACAGTGGGCCGATCGCATAGGCCAGAATAAAAATCGATAAAGCTAACTCGACTTCGATATCGCTCTGCATGTTAAGGTCTGCACCCAACTGGGACAATGCGGGAGCAACCATGGAGGAGGAAACCGGCGAGATAAAGGTGAAGATGGAGACGGCAACAGTATTTCTCCATTTGGCCCTCCGTGGCCAGTTTTTTGGATTCTCTGGATCGTCCGGTCCATCCCATGTAACAAGGTCAGGATCACATTGCTTGGTTGGGTCGTCAGACTTGGACCTGGCGGCTTCTGGATCTTGTGCGTCTGATTGTTGGGTTGACATCTTGACCAATGTGATGTTTAAATGACGAGTTCGTAATTCGTCTATTGATTCTCTGATCAACCTCGAAAGAATGGATAGTCCTGCTTTATACTCCCAGCAAAGGGGATATTACTAGGGCTTCAAGGGCCAAAGACCAGCCAATAGGAGGCTTGGATTACCTTCGGGGCCGAACTGGAGGGCTGACATTCCGGCCCGTCGCCCGAGCCACTCGAATCCTCCCCTTTCTATCTCACAGCCGTGAGTGCTTACATGGCGATACGATTCGCTTGACAGTACACGAAGTTACTCCTTTGGTATGCAAATTGTCGCAAGCTAATGTTTACAGAGACAGGCCTCACAAGGATCGCTATGAGTACTCGCCCTGTGGCGATCGCGCCTGCGACAAGTAAGACTTCGTCTGGTAGCGATGGGGGTGTCCCGATACACTCCACTACGATGTCCTACAGCTGTCAACATTGCGTACGCAGGAAAGTCAAATGCAACAGGGCCATGCCATCCTGCACGAGTTGCCAAAAAGCCAAGCTCGAGTGTTTCTATAAGGTACCACAACCACCACGGAAGCGGAAACGTAGGGAAAGCGAGGATGTGTACCAGCGCTTAGCACGGTATGAGCGCATACTACAGGAGAATGGCCTTCTCTCGAGAACCGTGGCACGATCGCCCTCTTGCAGAGGAACCCCGGAAAATGTGCACGAGGATGGCCCTCCCCACATAGCGCAAAGCGATGCAGCAAAGACAGGAAGGTTAGTATCTGAGGATGGAAAGTCACGGTACATTGACAGTCGAGTGTGGCTCGATGTGGCGGAAGTGAGTACGCGAGAGCTATCCGACAATGAGGGAGACGATCAAGCTACTCCCATGGCCTTGGACTTGCCAACGGATGATCCGCTTTCTGCGACCCTGCTAGGGGCGTCGAAAAACCTCTCAAGCTATCATCCTCCCTATCCAGACGCCATGAAGCTTTGGACAATCTATATTAAAAATGTCGATCCTCTCTGCAAGGTCCTGCACATACCCACAACGACTGAAATGATCGAAATGGTATCACAAAAGCCGACCGGAGCTACTCGAGCGCAAGAGTGTCTTGTATTTGCTGTCTATCATTTCGCTGTATATTCAATCACCGACGAGGACTGCATGCGTCAATTTGAGAGAACAAGGACTTCGTTGATGTCAAAGTACCAGTATGCCATGCGGCAAGGACTAGTTAATGCGTCTTGGTTGAAAACAACTGAATTGCAGGTATTACAGGCCTACGTTCTTTTCCTTATTGCGATGCGCACCCGAATAGATCCACATACATTCTGGATATGGACTGGTGTCGCGATTCGTATTGCGCAGCGTATGGGACTGCATCGCGACGGAGAGAATTTAAATCTACCTCCTTTCGACGTTGAGATGCGAAGGCGACTTTTCTGGCAGCTCATTCCCCTTGACGGTTACGCCGGTCAAGTGTCAGGCACTGGCATTTCCATCGCACCGGGTGATTGGGATACGAATCAGCCGCTCAATATCAACGATGACCAGATATACCCCGATATGAAGCAGCCACCCAACGTACAGACCGGTGCCTCTGAGATGATATTCTGTCTCACGAAAGCCGAGCTCTCTGAATTCTATGCCCACACAGCAGTAAAGATGAATTCTGTCAGTTCTAAAGGCCAAGTGCGAGATAACGCACACCTGGAGAAGTTAATAGATAAGCTTGAAAGTGACTTAGAGATGAGGTATCTGCGGTACTGCGATATCATAAACCCGGTACATATCTTAACACTTGGAATCACCAGGGCTGCCGCAAACATGGTACGCCTGCGCAGTCAGATGCCGTCCCTCAAGTGTCAAAAAATTGACGAGGCACAAAGACGGGAGCTCTGCGTCCTTGCGGAGAAGATCCTCGACACTTACAACGCTCTATACGCCAATCCAGACCTGCGGAGGTTCCAGTGGCACATAAAGACGTTCTTTGTCTGGGACGCGATGATATGCATTTTGAATGGCTTGGCTACAGAGGGGTTTCTTTCGCGCACAGAGCTGGACCGAAAATGGGAGAAGATTATCGTTGCCTACTCAAACCACCCGGAATTACTTGAGAGCAAGGGGGCACTACATGCTGTAGTGAGTGAGATAACTCTGACGGCGTGGATATCAAATCCCCCAAGCAACTCTACGGTTGAGCCCGCGTTCATTAGCACGTTGCGATCTCAACGCGAGACCAGGGGCTTTGGATGTGCACACAACCCCGACAAGACAACACGGCATGATGAACCCGCGGAAGCAGCGGATTTTCTTGATACCTTTCTTCACGGCCCTGAAGGGACTGACCTGTATTTTGACGGTAATTTTAGCTATGGGGTCGCAGATTGGATGTTTTGGGATTAAGCATAGTTGGTTCATCTAAAGGTGCACACAATGGAGTAAAAATGCTCGGTTATAATTCCTAGAGAGAGTGATCCATCATTGAGTGATTGACCGAGCTTGCCCTACAACAGCCGTGCGTCAAGCTACCTATACTTGCCTTGATGAAAGAAGCTTTCCGGAGGACCAAGATAACTATCACGCACACCACCAAGATCCACCACGATCTTCCCCAAGACGCAGTTCTCATTTTGAAGTCGGACACGGAGCGTGTGAAGGCCAGGAAGGCTAAGGTCTACCGAATGACGATGGGACCAGATGTTGTCCATGACTGACTCGTGCCACCCACCAGGGAGCTTGCCAGGCTTTTCTACTTGGGATACCAATCGGTGCGAGCCTAGAGCCTTATCATCGAGCTGAATGTCATATATGATGGGTGCCTTGGTATCAGTGTCCAAGGTAAGTGTGAACTCGAGGAAAAGTGTCGCATTGGCCTTGGGTGTGAATGTAATGAATGTGTATTCAAGATAATCTGACTGAGATGCCGGGGCTCCAGCAGCTAGAGCAACGCCACCGGTCGGCGTACGACCTATAAATGGAAGGATACGATATGACGATAGAGGCGGATTTATGAACGACGTGGCATTGATTGAGATATGGCCATCTGCTTCGACAAATCCAGTGGCATCTGCAGCAAGCGTTCGGTTTTTTACTGGGATGTGAATCTGCTCGAAGTCGCCCAATGAAGAACGTAAATCGACAAGTAACATATCGTCAAAATGGAGAGGCACTTGCGCCCAGTCTACGGATATTTTCACACGTTCATCGCCGCCTTTTGGCTGGATAGTTCCCGAAGATGGTGAGAGTGAAAGCCAGCGGTGCGGTGATGTGACAGCCCAGGATACGGATTTGCTGCCTCGGCAATAAATCTCGAAGTAGCGAGACTTGGGACCATAAGGCTCCATAGAGGGCAGTGTCACTCCGGCAACAAGATCGCGACGGCTAGGATGAGTACGATCGGATTCTTCGTTAGTGAGTCCTGGTCGAATACCGGGAGTTCCCTCCACAGCGATGCCAATCCAGCCAACCACGGGGTTTGAGTCTTGTCGGTTTTGTACGAAAGAGAGGCCGCTAATCATGTCTCGGGACGGAGCGTGCCATGATTGTGTATAACCATAGTGCGGCTGGCGCATGATATGATTCCATTTCCCGTTGAGAAGGGAATGATATTCCTCGCTAAGATTAAAATCGTCTTCGAAGAGGTGGAGTGCCTCATATGCCCAAGTATTCGCGGTGTTGCGCCGTTGTACTGCGTAAAGCCGATTCTTTGCCTGCGCAACCCTGAGCGCGACATAGATATAACTGGCTTTAATCGGATGAAGGACTAGTTGAAAATATGCCGGCATCATGGGCGCAGCAATCGATTTATCTAGCTCTTCCGCTTGACTCAAGAGTTCTTGCCAACGCCGCACAATATCCTCCGCTTCGCCATAATTAATGAGAGAGAATGTATCTGGTTCAATATGCTCATGCTTCCGAAGGGCGACTAGCCGGTCATACTTTAACAGCAATTCCGAGCACTGTTGCGACACAGCAGGCCCAAGATGAAAAGTATGCTCCGCGAATGTATAGAAGAACTCCTGCAGTTGATTCATTTGAAGGCTTCGTAAATCCCAGGCGAGGGTCAGAACAAAGGTTAAGGGGACCTCCATGGGCTTTAGGTCTCCCACGTTAAAGACCCAGATGTCCTTGGCTCCTCGATTGTACGTTTGCTCTAGCTGCTGCCAAACCTTCGCACACGAGTTGCTATTGAGCCACTTGTAGCTTCTCGGAGCTCCGACGTACTCCAGATGGTAATAGATCTATATGCATCAGTGAGCTTTGTGTCAAGCTGAGCAAAGGCCGAACCTACACCTGCTCCTCCACTCCTGCTCGATTCTTCCTCCGATGGTAACCTGCGGACAGTTCCAAAATTGTCATCAGCAAACAGCAATGTAATGTCCTCGGGGATATGGAGCCCATTTTCGTAATACTCTTGGACCTCCTTGTATAATGCCATCAACTCTACGAAACTGTCAGAACCTTATGTCAGTTTGTGCAAGTAGGCTTAGTCTTACGATGCACCCCATCTTCATCCCCGTAGGCCTTCTTGATAATCGATCGTTGGGTGGCAAGAACGTCCTCGAGCACTGCAGGTGGGTCCTCAGCATCCATAGCTTTATCACCATGTCCTCGCATGCCCATGGTGATATAGCTCTCATACTTCCTTGCTCGCTCAGCGCCTTCCTGGAAATACTTGGTGATCTTTGGTTTGTTCTTGCTCCACGACCAGCTTTTCTCCGGCTCATAATACGGATCGTCGAACCATTCATTCATAGCCCTCTGCATTGGCTCATGGTGCGAGGTGGACATCACAATACCGTATTTATCAGCTGTCTCCTGATTCAAGGGATCATCCATGAAGAAGCTGCTGCCTGGGTGAGGAAAGCCGAACCACATAGCTGGCCATAGGAAGTTCGCCTACGCACAGTAAGAAATGGTTGACGACAAAGATGAGGCCGCGGTATCATACCTTAAGTCGAAGGAGGAGTTCAAAGACTCTCTTGTAAAAGTCCACATTGAACTTCGGTCCATACTTCTCGTGCACCCAGCCAGCCAAGGATGGAGCTTCATCGTTGATGAAGATTCCCCTGTACTTCACACTCGGGGGACCATTTTTAGTGATTACATCTAAGGCATAAATCTCGCTGCTTTGCTTTGGGGGTACATCCGCCCACCAATACCATCTAGCAAGGTTAGTTTGGTCTTCATCGGACGACAGAGGTCAATTTACGGAGAAACTCCGATCTGGTCGGATAGCGTATACACGCCGTAGATCGCACCTCTTTTGTCACTTCCAGCGATTACGAGGGCTCTCTTTGCTCCTTTAATCGCGTCGTGAAGAACCATTGTCATGTAACACTCCCATTGCCCGTCGATTGCTGTTACGTCAAGCTTGCCATCCTGAACCAGTTGCTGGATGGTCGGCGACCGAGTGATGCTGCCCAGAACAATAGCAACCTCTGCATCGAAGTCTTGGCTGAGGTTCGAAATGATCAGAGAAGCACCCTTGCCCGTCACCCGCGCGAAGTCTTCCGCGAGGGCTTCAGCGGCGATATGAATACCTTCGAAGTCTTCCTTGTCCACCAGGATGGGCGCATTGGTAATATCTATGCACCCCGCGGAGGGAGCATGGCTTGCAAATACAGATTCGTACATTTGTCCCTCTGCTAGGTAGAATGGCGGATATCCTTTCCCCACTGGCGTTTAAGAATTCGTTTTAACAGCTAATGCTGTCTAGTGAGCGGGTTGGCCTGTCCTGATAAATGTCTCGGGAGAAGCACAGGCTTGTGGAGTAACTGAGTAATGCCCTGCATGACCCCTCCGCAATTTGAGATGGAGATAGCCATTGATGATCCCCTCGGGTCAATCTAGTCCGAACATCTATTCTGCATTGACATCTCTTGTGGTACCAGAAGATGAGCGATATCTTCTGCTGGCATTTCGACTTGAATGCCTAGCATTAAACTATCTAAGCAATAGTCAAGCACCTAAGGTACAGGATAACAGTATCGCTAGACAGTCCACCTTATCACTGACTAATTTCTGGTATACACATCTGGCGAAGGTACATGCAATATAGCATACGTGTGGTTTGACTAAAATCTGTGGAATTAGTCTTAGACTCGGTACTACGATCAGCCGACCGTCACTTCTGCGTGATTTATGGTCACCTCTACTATTGCCACTGCCTTTATCCCTAATTCCTACGGCGGCCTTCGTTTTTCTACACATAAAAAAATAAATGAAGAAAGAAATCAATAGATATTCCCGATTGAACATTCGAGGAAATATTAGTAAAGCCCTTGCGCGTCCCCTTAATTATCACGGTTAGACACTTGGTACCAAAACCATTCCTAATTGCAAAAGAATATTAACTCTCATATTTGTTCATCTCGTCGAGTGAATTATCCTGCAGGGCTTTTGTCTAGGGCTTTCCTATTGCTTGCTTATATCCAGAGAACGTTCAGACGTAGATGTTAATCAATCACCTAGCTTCCCATCTATTTAATCACCGTCTATGTATTCTTTACACAAGCTAAAGAACCGTTTTGCTAGGGTGGAGGGGATATACACTGATGGATGGCTCTGCTTTCCTCTAGCACATATTTAATTTGGAATATACGCTGATAATATTCAATAAGCCTATTATAAAATCAAGCTTTAAAAAGGCATACATAAAGTAAAGTGGTTCCCGTTCGAAAAAAAAAAAAAAAAAAAAAGGTCTTTTTCAGTCCAGCTCGCCAGCTTTCATACCTACTCAACCGGCATCATTATCCCTAATCGTTCTCAGACCGTCGACATATCTTGCGTACTCTACTGGACAAACTAGAGGCTTGATTTTTATAATCCGACATAAATCGAAAAGCAGACCGACATATGACAAGGCGGGCACAGCAATTTCAGAGACAAAGAGGTAAGCACCGCAAGAGCTCGTTTCGCATGTCATTGCCTCGTGGCAGTCGTTGGCATGAGCATAGTCGCGTCTGGAAGTTCTATCAGGCACCTAGAGTCGTGTGGGGATGAACTTCCTCCACTCCCTAGCCTTCTCCATTTATTAATTTAATTTCAATTTTATTCTTTGGCCTTCAAGCATTGATGCCAGACCACGAACACAGCATCTGCTCTTCTAGGGTTATAAATATCAACAAGGTGATTGTGGTAGCAAGAATAGCATCATCACAGCCACTTCTGGATATCGGTGGGGCACTCGCTTCCATTGAATCTGGTAGCCTAATCGTATCGGAGGACTCCGAAGATGAGGTCATTCAGCCCGCTATACCAAGTCTAGCCACTGCTGAGAACACACCACACTCGACATAGGGCATTGTGTTTCCAAGTGAACAGCAACAGGAAATGAAGTAAGTTGTAATTGGATCGCGACATACTCGAAGTCCAGCATTGTTCCTATACTAGTTGTGATAGTTAAAGGTTCTGAAGAGCGACCCACCTCGTAGCCCTAAAACCCATCTCCGCAACACACAAGTTGGATCGCAGTGGGTCTTCATGTGTTGGTGCATGCAGACACTGCGCCACCACGGCCGTTACCTAAATCTTTAGTAACAATAACCTTACACCCCAGAGGATTGGTCAATTTCCTCCCCGATCCAAGCAACATAGGGTAAAATTTCGATATGGTGGATGCACCGTGCACTCGATCAAGGCCGTTGCGCTGAAGGGTTGCATCGCTATCATTGCACATAAAATGGCATGGTGCGCCAGGTTTGAGTGTCGTTAACTACCTGCAAGTGAAGATCAAAGAGCCATCATTCGTGCGAAAATGGAGCCGATACAGCTTGGAATCCATGTGGTGCAGTCTGTAATAGCATTGATCATTCTAGGGTGCTCAATCTATGGGGTCACTATAGCTTCGACCACAACAGGCTTCGGGCTTGCCATTTTCACGGTGCGTGTACTTAACTGTTGCGGACATGAAATTCATATCCCATTACGGATTGTAATACCCGCTGCAAAAGATCTAACAGGCTATCCAGGCCATTGCAACGATCCTAGTTGCCATTTACATTCTTACCGCATCTTTCATTGCCAAGAGCATTTACAAACTCTGGCTTCTCGTTGGAGCCAACTGTGTCACGGCGATCTTTTGGATTGCGACAATCGGTACATTGGCATCGCAACAACGGTGGAATCATGAATGCCAATACAATCACGGGCATTGCTATAGGAAGCGCGATGGAAACGACAGTCATGGCGTGCACGCCGCAACGATTGCGCTTAGCGTTATTGACGGGTATGGCACCAAAAGATGAAAAGTAATTGAATGTCAACTGACACCGAAACTATAGCCTCCTGTCGGTCGTTTCTATTGGGTACAGTCTATGGGCCAAAAAGAATCACCGAACGAAGACTCCTGCAACTGAGTGAAAAGGATGATTTGCAGTAAACAAGCAGCCATAGCACATTTCCAAGTTGTTGTTGGCTGAACTTAGATTCAATTTTTAAAAGATTGATGAGAAATGTATAGACCATGTGGATAGTAACTGAGATTGCCTAAACGAATAATATAAAGGACAGCAAATGATAATTAAAGAAATAGAAAATAACGAATAAAAGTGGTCACAAGAAGTACAAAAGCAATTCTTTCCCAATGAAGAATTACACAGCACACGAGCTTGCCTTCTTCTCCATGTATATGTTGGAAACGGCTCGTTCGACATTTAGAGGGCAGGGTGAACGGCTAGTCAAACGCGATGATGAACTTGGTGGCATTGTGTCTCTCAAACCTGGCGTATGCCTCCGGAGCTTCCTCAATATTAATGACATCGCTCACTATGAACCCAGGCCTCGCTTTGCCGGACGTGACAAGATGCAGAAGCTCAGGCGCAAGTTCGATAGGCTTCGATGGTCCCGCCCCCCAGCGGAACTCTCCATAGAAGAATTGTGCAAGTGAGAAATCGAAATGAGTATTGACGGTAGAGGCACGAGGTGCAGTCGAGGTATTATTGGACTCCTGTGTGTAAACTCCAACTGTGCCCAATCCGCCCCCGGTCGAGGTGACAGCCAGCATGTTACGGATGATAACATCTGATTGCACGGTCAGGTTCCTGTTCACCTGCTCATATCCGACGGCATCGATACTCCGAATAACACCGTTCGGTTCCAATGCTAGTATCTGCTCGACCGGGTCGGCATCGCGGAAATTGATAGGGATAGCTCCGATGGATTCAGCAAGCTGGAGTCGCTCGGGAATGTAGTCAACACTATAGACAGTTGATGCACCTCGCAAGATGGCCGAGTATGCAGCCATCAGCCCAACAGGACCGGCCCCAAATACAGCGACTGTGTCACCTGCTTTGAACCCGGCGTAGTCGATGGACGTCCAACCAGTACCAAAGATATCGGATAGCATAACATAATCGTTCAGCAGCGAAACGGAATCATTGGTGCCGGGATCGGTGTAATTGAGGGTTGGAACAGGTATGAGCCCATTGTCTCCGAATGGCACACGCAAATATTCGGCTTGGGTGCTAATCGTGAGCTTGGATGGAATTAATACTAGCGAGGTACTTACCCTGCGTGCCACCCAGGTCGCCACCATTCCCAAACGCGCCGTACAAACCCGTAGTGAGCCCGGTGTGTAGATGGCCTTCATCAACGGTGAAAGGGACGATCACAGGATCGCCAATCTTGAGAGAGCCAACACCAGATCCCACATCAGATACGTATCCAAACCCTTCATGCCCCAGGCCAAATGGAGCCGGCATTCCGTCGGTCGTTCCTCGATAAATGTGCAAGTCTGATCCGCAGATAGCTGCTCTAGACATCCGAACGATAACATCTGTCTGGTTTATGATGGTAGGCCTTGGCAGGTCCACCACAGCCACGTCATATGCGTTCCCTTGCCAGACAACGGCTCGCATTGTTGCATTGATTGCAGATGTGTTAGAGAGCGCCATGGTGAGGAGTGTAAGAAATAGAGACCGTGTTAATGGAAAAAGTAGGCCACGGTATGAAAGCCGTATTTATACCTGCCAGGAGTGCGCCCATAGATAGAGCACCTACAGTGGAATGTCATCATATTCTCAGAGAAGCCCCACAGGACAAGAGTACGGGCTTCCTCGCATCTACATGGGCCACAGAATGTCTCTAATATCCCCGGCTGTTAGGCTTTGGCCATTTAGGCATGGGTCCTGAGGATCAACTCTCCATCCAAGGCCTTTTGATACGCTGTGGAGACTGCTGTAAGCAAGGTACATTTAAATCCGGCTTGGCGCTGCTTCTGGATACGGAACTGGTTCTATATCTGCAGATATCATGCTCAAAACTGTAGCCATAACATTTGGGTTCACTGAATATTGCAGCCTAAAGTAAAACTCGTGATGATTTCATTGTGGTATGCGCCAAAGGGGACAACGGCGAGTTATAGGTGATAGCTAAAGCGTGGTAATCTCTGGTCGGCTTTACGGTGGCTTAAAAATTATCCTCAAGACCAGGTAATTCGACCGATATTATAAATAATTGAACCAGCGCTTAAGGACCGGTAAATAAAGTTCTTGGCGAACTAATTTCATAACTCATATAACTCACACATACAAAACAATCTTTTCGGAATGGTGCCTGGGGACAGCATAGCATCCCTTTGCTTTGATGTCCCATTATGTCCGCGATGCTGATTACGACAATGGGACATCAAGCGCAGTATAGCTCAATAAAACTAGAATTTCTCATGGAGGTCAGCTTCCCATGACGACCGTCTCTACAGCCAATGACCAGACTTTGACAGGGCCAAGAAAGCGCATTCCTTGGTTCAGCATACAGAGTAAGCAACCTGCATTAGCGGCGAAAGCCAAGAAATGTCGATCCTAGCCGGTAAGTTTGATGCGGATGCAGAAGGACCCGGAGATAACAATGTCTATTGCATGTTATCTACTCCTTGCTTACAGGTGGCGCACTCTTTTAGCTTTTAAAAAGAACCATTGAACGACCCCTACACGTCATTTCTTGAGTGGCTTTGCTATTCCAAGAGTCTCGGCGCCAGGGGCAACAGAGCCACGAAGGCCATTCCGGAGTAGGCACCTTTTACTATGAAGAGTATGTCTCCGTGACATTTCTCAGAACTGAAAAGTGGGAGGCTGAGAATGCCTAAGTTGTATGTGTTTTAAACATCAACTGTCGCCAACGAATTCTATCGGGCTTACACGTTATTACCAGCAGAGATCTAGAAATGAAGTCCTATGACAGTGAATTGCTAAACACTTCGGCGGCTTGCTTTGTGGATTTATTGTCCATTCTTTCAAAGGGACAATGCAGAACACTGCTCCGAGGTCGGGTTTCGTCGATATCTAATCGTGATGGCTTGATTATAATGCGCTTCCCGCCTTCTACCAGATACCGGGGCTGTCGCGGAACATAATAAATCACTAGCTACGTGCAAAATATAATAAGAGGGGTCTCTAAGGCCAGGTTAAGCATTGACTAACTCCCTTCATCTAGTCCGTGTCGTATATCCGCGTTGGTTGGTTACTTTTAGTGGTCTCCGTTTGGTCGCTTTCTGTTATCTTAGGACACACACGATAACCCTAATTACCTCTCTCTGAAAAAGAAGGAAAAAAAAAGTAAACACATACTACGCTGTACTGATGTACTCTCGGGGCGTCACACATTTGGTCGGTCGTGTATTCTAAAAAGGTTCACATCTACTCAGTCGTTGATTGCCGATGCCTTCGGGAGTATGGGAAGAAATCAACAAATGAATGAAAAGTAAAATTTTGAAAAATTGGAAAGAACGTTTCGAACTGCTCAACAACAAGGTAAATAGACTAAATATATATATATATGTATATATAAACCATATATACCAAATAAGCAATGTTCCCAACACTGCTGTAACTCTTATCCTTGTGGAGACCCTCGTTAGTCCCGAGTCGAAATGCAACCCTAACTGTTCCCGGCGTGTCGCTTTCCACGGCAGATCGAAAATGTCGAATAAAAAGTAGTGGACAAGAATTAAGCCTTTTCCAAGGTTGACAATGATTAATGACTAGTTTTTCGGATTCTATTTCCTACGCTTCCGCAAACGGATTGCCGGCTTGAATAGTTGCTCGAGAATGTGTGATTTCTCATTGCGGTGGAGGACGGAAAGTAAGGCAACATGATAAATTTCGAGGTACCTCCATACATGGTATTTATTGACTGCAATGAGTTTCTAGACGTGTTCAGCCATCGTTCTTGTGGTTGTTAATGAAACACCTGGCTAAGTCCTATTCATCCGCATCCCTTGCATGTCAAGCCCCTACAGCTCGTTCGCCTCCCACTAGAATAGCGCTAGAATAGCCCGATCGTAACATTTCCCTGAACCACTGCATGAAGCTCTAATGCAACATCTGCTCTTAAGTCCAAGTTGATCCTCACATTCAAGCTCGAGTCATTGTCATCCTTGCTTGGTTTCCCTAAACCGGTCGTAGGTAAGGTGACGCCACGATCGCCCCATGGTCCTTTCGGTATCTCAGGAACAGCACTCGCGGCGTTGCTGGCGGGTAGCGCTCCTGGGGACGCAGGCTTTTGGTCCAAGGCCTTGTCGGCCTGAGTGGAATTCTTCCTAAAGGCCAGGATTAGCCTGGTACGTTCTGCGATTGGAGAGCAGATAATGGTTCATCTGCCCATGGGTATTAGTGGTCCCAAAAGCTAGCACATACCGTTCAGCAGGGGGGTTTGAACTCATATTGCTCTTCGGTTCCTCCTGACTATAAGGGATGTTTCTTCATCGATGGTAAGTGTCTGACTGGGAAAGGACAGACTTGTAGAGTCCTAATTGTGTGTCGCTTCTAGTTCATGTAATATATATTAAGTCACCCACCCCACTTAAAACGAGCTGGAAGTGAACGGTCGTCCGAGTCCTGACGTAGCCGACTAAGTGAAGCCTATTTTTATTCGAGTTAAAATCTGCAGAGTATGTAACATCCTGTGGCAAGATCAACAAAAACTGGAGCTGAGCTGAAAACCTCCGTTTTCGTCGACGGCCGTTTTTGTCAACGACCCATGGAACGGTGACGGTTGACCACCCGTCATAGTTCTTATAAAACGATGCATCCGTTCGTTCCCTGGTGCTTGTCCCCAAGTTCTTAGTTTACACTCAGCAGTGGGCCAGATTAGGCCACCCCAAAGCAAAATGGTGATCGGAATTGCAATGATGTCAGCGATGGTCCCCACCATCATAGGGTTGAACGAAGCAACCAAAGGGGCGCGAGAATCCGAAGATAAACGCAAGGAAAATGAAAAGAAAACGCGCTTTCACTTGGTCGCTACATGCGATATTGATGCAGACTTAGAGAGTCGGAGGCAAGAAGTACACAATGCTAATGTTTATTTGGGATCAGATAAAAAGGTATGGAAGGCTCTTCTCGTACGGAATAGTACTACCGAACAGCTGCCAGCTAACCCGGCACATGAAGTTATATATCACTAAACGTCCGACTCTATCCATGACTGCATTTAATGGGCATTTCTTTGAATTGCCAGACCTTCAGCAGGGCAATCTAAATGGGCTTGTGGCAATAAGCGGCGAAACACCACCTACCCTACGGTGGGTCTACCTGGATAAAGAGACGTACCAAATGAGATGGGGAGGAAAGCAGGATAGGGAAGGCCACATTGGTGGTCCTTTTGATTTGACCCATGACGGGGACTATCTTGCATTGAATGACACTCAGAGATGGCTAGCCCTACGACTAGAAGATGCAGAGCAGGACGGAAGGGAAGCGGGTGTAGGCGTTTGGAGACTCTGTTGCGACTATGAGGAAAATAACGGCGCAGGCCTGCCGGTCGATACCCCAAAGATGCAAATTTATCTGAGAAGAGTTCTAGCAGATTCTTGATATCTGTCTAGTAGTCAGCCAGGGATATATAATTTTATTTTACATTCAATCTACAGCCTGGGCGGCCTGGGTACAAATCTAAGAAGGAAACAAGCCAACATAAATGCCATTACATACGAGTGAAGAAGAAGTGAATGAAAAATGCAGGGGTCAAATTCCGATTCGCGAGAAGTGTTGATACTTAAGTTGGGAATAATATTGCGTAGCCACTCTAAAGTGATTCTGAACTTCCCTACATTGTCTTATATGATCTCCTTCGGTGATTAAAATCCACTGCCAGTGTCTGTCGTCATTCGCCGCCATGTATGCAGAAAGTACGAGGGGTTTCGGTGCATAATAATCAGGAGGACAGGGCCCATATACTGTCCCTAGGTAATCGGCTACGGGTATTGTTGACAACCCCTCTTGATCTGCGTTTGCCCTAACTCGGTGGCTGAGCAGGAATCCATTGAGAACCCCTGCTCCAAAGCTTTACCTCAGTCAAGCCCGTCTGTCAGATTGAAATAGGTTCTCAAACAGCCTTCTCCGCGCATTGCGAGAGCGGAAGATGTCGAATCCAGAAAGGCTAAATGACATACGATGACCACCACATTCGTTCATAGCCTAGTCATTGTCGACTCACTAGTTGCCTTGGTCCCACATGCTGTACGTATACAGATTTGCATTAATAAAGGCACCCCGTGTTGCCGTTAGGATTGTTGTCAGGCGCTATAGGCCGGCGCGCTTCTTGGTGCATCCCGAATAGCCTCAGGAGGAGCTGTCATCGCTAGGATGATGATTGCAAGGGATAGTCGCGCTAGGGAATGAAGTAATCTAAATTCGGCATGCAGGCGCTGCCTTATTGTACGGTTGAAGCAATAAATCTAGAGGGTGCCCTTCCATCTGTGCGTGGATAGGAGAAGCGTCTTATTGGTTCTCATCTCCGAATCTATCCACTCAAGGTCGATTAACTGAACATACAAATGAAACTGCGATGAACCAATAAATTGCACAGATCCATTGCGAGGGCCGTGTCATTACAGATGGTGTATAGGCATTGGTTATCAGTATTATATGTGGGCTACTGACTGGCTGTGCAATAAGAGAACATGACGAGTATTTGTAACGACAGACGAAAGGTTTAGGTAACATGATCATGGACCCCCTCATACAAACGTTCCGACAAAAACACATCTTTCTGTCAGTATATCTGTATCTCTTGACACGATTTGAGCCTCTTGCTAGCTGAGCTGGCTTTCCCAGGAATGCTTAACAGTAGTCACTGTGTCCAGAACCGCCATCCTGGCAACCGCCATCACAATAGGTCGAGAACGAAATATCGCCATTACCGCCTCCATTGCAATGGAAGAGAGATTCGCGAAAGTGAAGATCATCGGTGGGTTGGTTTGCGGCTTGCAAAGCCACAGTAATTTGAGAGTCGTAATTGCCTGACATGAAGAACCACGTTAGGGTACCTGATGACTCATAAAGAGAGTCAATTTTGTTTTGGATATGGAACCACGTACCGATGCTAGTGAGGACAAAACCGCAGTAGTTGAGGCCAGTCTTGCAATTGTTTGCGGCAGCTAAAGGGGCAAGCGAAGCCAGAACGGCAATGGAGAGAGTGGCAAGCTGGACCATGGTTGCAGAGAGGTCGAGTTTGTTTGAGAGTAATAAGTATAGTAGAAGATGATTGTGATATTTGATTGTCTTGCGAGCTGGTGAACTTCCATCACAACGACGGGGACTTTCCCACATATTTATATCCGATGATATCCTCCCCTGAACCCACCCCAATCATCTTCATGCTTTCATTCTCTTTCTTGATGGATCGATCCTTGAGCCTTGTTGTCTTGGAACCTTCGCTGGACGCCTGAATTATCAAAACATGTATCATATGCTGTCCAAAAGGAGAGAATTAGTGGGCGATCTAGCTCACCTTGCATTGCTGGAGTACTTCCGTAACACCTCTCGAAAAGAGCGATTGGGACTTGGTCCAATAAGGTCTGACAATATCGGGAAACCCCTGACCGTCTCGTAAGCCTGATGGATCTATTTCATCCGGAACAGAGTCTACTATCCATGGACGATCATCATAGTCGGACGACAGAATGGCGCCGGACACCCCGGAATATCCGCGTTGGGTAAGACTCAACGCAAATAAGCATCTCCTATTCTCCTTGCTATAATAGTGGCAGTGCTTGGCCTTCTTATTCGTGATCTGACCAATCGTATAAATAGCGCAAAAGGAACTCCCGACGATTGTTTGGCCAGAATCTCAGCCTCGCATCTTGATTTCCCTACTAGGAATAGTTCTCAGGGGCCACTATAATCTTACTTACATTGTCCGATCGTCTCCTGAAAAGGATATGGAGATATATGCCTTCAAGTGAGAGTGGATTCGAGCTCTTTCTCTGTTCCTAAGAAATGGGCAGAGGGAGAAGTAGGCAATGGAAGCAATCTTAATTATAGCATTGATTTCCCGGGGCCTTTGAAGACTTGAACACTACTAGGCCGAGTTGAAGGTAAAGAAGAGCCTAGTTATTTCAGGCTCTTATTAATCGTGGGTTAGTGTGATGTTGTAGGGACATCAATAGAGCAGATTTTACTTTTAGAATTAGTCGCAGGAATAAGTAGTAGAGTTTATGATAGACATTCACCGGACCAGCAGCAGCTGTTCATTGTGCGTCACACAACCCGATGTCTATTGCGGAGTCAATAAAAAATAGTATACCACCTCTCTCTGTGGAGAGAGGAGTCTCAATAGGCGCCTATGACAAAACTGGAATGACAGACAATCCCGGTCCGTCAGCAGCAGGAGTATGCAGGTCAGCAAAGGAGGATGTGATATGGGCCAGTCAGTAACACCGTCCAAGGGTGGGATACCACAACGGAATCCTTCCTGTTGTATTGTCTATTCTGAGAGTATCTCCGTAGATTATCTATCACAATGGGCTTTGCGAAAAGCCATTAAAATAGCTTGAGTAGTGCTTCAGAAACAAGTGAAAAATCTGAAGTCATGGAACAAGGCTTGTGAAGTTCTTTTTTGGTACTATAAAATAACAGGAGCATATATTTACTCATAAGAATAATGACTCACACTGTTACTCATCGAAGAGGGAACTGCACTTTTATACTATGGACACTGAACTCACACAACTAGCAGTTGATACCAAACTCGACCTCTCGTAATATTTATCTTTTTGCCTCCTCACAGGTGCTTTTGACAACTTTTGAAACTTTTCCAAACAACTGTTCTAACTTTTTAAGCCAAAAGAAAAATTTATGCAGGAATTGCGAGGCGTTCGCGTAGAACAACCCCTTCGTCCGAAGCAGGCATGATCAAGTCATCAGTCGCTTCAGCTCGACCACAGCCGAATTTCTTCAGATCCCACTTATCCACTCCTTCTACCCCTTTCAGCTCATTGCCGAAAGCCTTGAAAATATCAGTGTTAAGGGTTTCATATTCCGAGTATTCCTTCGGCCAGTCTCCCAAGCGTTCAACAGCAAGTTTGAGCAGGCGTAGATGCTGCCGAACGGACTTGCCGTCACCCTCTGTTGCCTCGCCGGGACTGCTGACATTCGAGCCACCGGGGCTATGTGTGTCTGCAAGGCTGGAAGAGAAGTAAGATGGGTCAACGAAGGACCGCAGGGCGTTTTCATGCAGCACTGCAGCCTTCTTGTAGTACCGGTACGCCAAGTCGCGGTAATCCTTCTGATTCTGATATCCCTGTGCCACGCTCGTGTACATCTGAGACAGGAGCACGGTCATCTCGACGGTATTGTGGTCCCGTGGGCCGTGGACACGAGCACAGTTGTACACGATGTCTTCCGCCAGACGGATGGCATCCACGTAGTCACCAATCATGTAGCGTGTAATAACAAGCATACGGCCAAGGGCAAGGGTGTATAGATGCTGTTGTTGCGAGGTGCTGCGGGTTTCGCGGGCATTCCAAAGGGATGTGAGCACGCGGACCAAGGTGGAATAATCCTTCTGCTCGTCCAGAAGACCGATCAACCGGTCCAAATTGACATGGTCCAATTGAGTTATATCAAGCTTCAATTGCTCGAATTTGTCGAGGGCTCCCTTTATCATGGCGGTTGATAAACTAAGCATATCCTTCCGCACCTTGGACTCTACAAAAGATTTGATGTCTCGGCTTGAAATTGCCAGACCTAATTTGAATACCAGCTTGACGGCAGTCAATGAGGAAAAGCCGTGATGCGCTCGAATGTACTTGAAGGAGACCGACGCCAGGTGGAATGCAGTATGATAGTTCTTGGAAGCCAGGAGTTGGGTTACGCGGTTGTAGCTGGCGATGGCGATAGAGCTGATGTAATCACGCGATGAGTGCGAACTAAAGTACTCTAGAAGCGTGGTGATGAAGACCTTGCCCTGAGCAAAGTCCACATCGACGGCATCGCGCTCCACAGATATGAAGTAGTGGGTGAATTTCTCGATGAGTCCGGTGGCAGTGGATTGACGGCCTCGGGACAGCAGTACTCCATGTAGGCGGCAGACAATGGACAACGTGCTCTGGAAGCTGCTGGTCTTTGACTTCATGGCAGTTCGGAGCTGCTCGAAGTAGACATATTCAGTTACCAATGAAGTGTAAATCTCGTTCATGGTGATAGACAAGGTCTCCCGCTCTTGAAGGCTGTACTCGAGCTGGGCTAGGAAAACAAGGGCTTGACGCTGGTCCGCAGACAACTCAAAGTTGGTGGAGCTGATCTCGATATCCTGGGCCACGGTTTGGCGGTAGATCTCTTGTGCCATTCCTTTACCGTGTTGGACCTGACCTGACCTAATAAAGCTGGAAGCAATACTCTGGGCCGCTAAGCACAGATTGACCGCCGAGGTCTCCTTCGAGAGAACTTTGGAAGTTGCCTCTTGCAATAATGAGTAGGCCGCCTGGAATTCATTGCGTCGAGAATAGAGCGATACGAGCTTCTCCATCTGGGAGAGTGATTCCTGATGGGCCCATCCGTGTTCGGATAGAAAGCTCTCGAGACGTTTCTTGTGAATAGAAACCACCTTATGAAATTCCGTGGTTGTAATCGTCTCAGTACTTGAAGTCAGCGTCTCCTCCTGTTCTTCGTACAACGCGTCCAGTGTTGCTTCGATGCCCTCGTAATCGATATCAACATAGCTTTCTTTCAGCTTCAATAGCTCCTCGTAGAGTGCTATTGCTTCACTCCTGTATGTATAGCTTTCCTGACAGATTTGTGCCAGTGTAGTGGTGGCTTGCACCGTTATTGTTGCGGTTGTCCCGAATAGCGACTGACATGTCTTCCGGTACTGAACCGTTACATCATGGATTATAACAGTGTCAGCGCGAGTCATCCGTAAGCAATGGATATAGCGCTCGTAGGTCAGTTTGACGAAAGCCTGATCTTCGAGCTTGGGATTGATGTGTGGATGCTGCAACGTGTTGAACAACGTCTGGCAAGGGTGCAGTGCCTCAGAAAAACGTCCTTGTGTCAGAAGCTCTGTGACGACGATAAGCAGTGGCTCAAAGGCGTCCGGATGACAGGTAGTTGCGTCCTTATTGAGGATCTTGACAATCTGCCCATAATAGTCAATGCATACCGGGCGCAGGTGAGTTAATGTAGCCAAGGCCCACAGCTCCTTGAGCACGGTCGGATGTGCTTGCCCGTACTGCTTTTTATAGTCATCTAACACTTCCTGATGAATACTGATAAGCTCATCGGTCTTTGATGACCGTTCATAGAAACGCAAGATTGCTGTCGTGGCTCGATCACGGAGCTTATCGCCAGTAGGTCGGTCATGTCGGGCAGCACGATAGACACGAAGCCGAATGTTTCCCTCTTTTGCTAGTCGCTGTCTAGAACGATAGCAGTTACTCAAGCGCTCAGCTAACTGAACACAGTAGTCCACATTCTTCGATGGAAGGACAACGTCTTCGAGCGATGGGGCGAATAACGCTGGCCAAATAACCCGTAAGACACGCTTCATGGCTTGTGTAGCGTCGCGCCATCTCCGTTGGGACAAGTACATGTTAATAAGAGAAGTGGTGGCCTTGGCTGAGAAGTGCTTTGTTGTAACAGTACTGAACACAATCTCTTCGAGGCTAGATTCAGTCGCGGTTGACTCGTTCTCGATGACATACTCAGAGGTTGACTGGATAGCTTGCTGGAGCTCCGAGTAAATCGAGCTATGTTGACTGACACTTTGAGCACAATGCTTCAAAACCTGCAATGCCACGGACTCTAGTTTGACGGACTTCATAAGTTTTGCAACTTGCATGAATTGTGATACGACTGCCTCATCCAAAGTAGAGCTGACCTGCTCATATTCTTGCCAGAAGCCCCAGAGAATAGCCGCTACTTCGCTCTGTCGTTTTTGCGACATGAGAAAGTTCGAGTATGCCAGAGCAGCTTTCACATTCCTTATCTCCCACTCTAGGGAGCGGTGGAGTCGAGATTCCCAGCTCGTGCGCTGCCAAATCTCAAGGTAAATAAGTTCGGCTGCTTTGTGGTCCCCAGCCTTTGCATATTGCTCTGCTTGTGCTAGAAGTGATTCAAACTCAAAAGACCCGCTAATCTCCACATCCATCTCAATCTCATCTAGCTCGAGGCCTGTTCCTCCCACGAGGGGTTGCGGCCGGCCGATGAGGTGGATATGCAGCGAGTCATCAGGCAGTTGAGGTCTGCTCGGATCCTTTGGACCTCCGGGATGGCGAACGCCAATGGAGACTCTAATTTCCTCGGCTTTGTGCTCTTCCTTGATGTAATGGTAATGCTCTGCAAGCTGAGTGGAGGCCGAAATGAACATATCGCTTGTTGACCCATAAAGAACCTTATAGCTCTCCACAAGGTGGTGGAGCACTTCAATTCGCCTCACCATGGTCGTCGTCTTCGAAGTAGTCACTTGACTGGACGTGATATCCAAGAAATATTGGGCCACCGTCACCGTGATACTGTGTTGAGCCGAGAGTAGCTCTTGGCAGATCTTGATGGCATCATAGAAGATATGATCAACTTGCGTTGGGGCTTTATGGATACTCCAATAGAAGGACACCTGACATAATAATGTCTGGAGAGTGGCTGGCTGCTTGGAAGACAGTATCGACTGGTAGAGGCGTGTCTGGGTATCATGGAAAGACACCAGGACTGGAGTCTCTTTGCGCTGCCATACAGCCATCTCGAGCCTAGGCAAGGTTGTGCTAGCCGGAAGTATATTGCGAATTTCTTTTGCAGCTGCAGCAATTTCTCGATCTGTGTTGCAGCCCATTGCCGTCCTCAGATGGTCTATCCAGTAGCGGAGTGCAAAGTCTAACAAAGGATGCCTTTCGATCAGGTCTTGGGTGAAACGCGATTCCAATGGTTCCAAAGCTGGCTCACGACCATCTGGAACTACAAGCTTTGCATAAAGTAATAGCCGCTGGGCAAGATCGAGGTTCCTGTTCTTGATGGTAGGAAGGATATTGCCATGGTTGAAGATCTCCAGGATTGAGTCGCGGACCTTGGCGTGCCGCAGGAATACCAGATTATTTTGAATAAAAACTGAGGATGCCACCGGCTTAAGAATATGAAGTGTACTTTCCCTGTCTTGCTCTATGATCTTTTGTTTGTCTTGCTGAATAGACAGAAGAGCAGATAATTCTTGTACCTGTAGCGGCCGACAAGCGGTGGCGAGCCAGACAACGAGTTTTATTGCCTCTTGGGTCACATTCGAATGCAGAGTGCGATGAATGATGTCTTTGACTGTGGGCTTTCTATTGACAATGTTGTCAACTGCCTTGATCAGAGACTGTGTGTTGGACGGGGCCTCGTCCCGAATTTGTTTCGAAGCAAGCTTAGCCCACAGAAAAGAGCCATTGGAAGCCTCGGCAATCCGGCTAACTTGGATCTCACGTCGCTCTTGGGGAGCTTTGGTGAAGCTGGAGCTATCCTGCAAGATACTTCGTACAACTGCAGAAATATCATCGAGAATAAGCTCTGGCGTAATTCGTACTGTGTCCTGGCCCGGCTGGAGCGAGGCCTTGGACTCCTGCTGAGAAGTAAGCAGGATCAGCTTGGTACTCTTTGCGTTATAGGTAGCCTGTCGGAGCCTCTTCAATAAAGCTGCTTCGCCACCGTTGGCTTCATCCACGCCGTCAACGATCAAAACTAGCTCCTTCGCGTGTTTCCGGCTAGCTTCAAGTGCATTTTCGAGAACTCCCCAGATGACGTCGTCGTATGTTTCACTGTCGAATGTTTCCTGGCACCGTTTGTATGTATCCGAAAGAACGCGATAAAGGCGAACGTTTCCAATTTGCTGGTCAAAAAGCTGGGATAGAATAGTCTTTGCAATAGCACGAGGCATGGTGTTTGCTAGAACTCTGCTGTCTGAAGGCACAGTTAGCAGAGGAATAAATCGTCAATTCATGATAATGCTCACTAATTGGCACAAATATTGTTCTGTAGCTGACGTCTCCGACGGGATGCTGCAAGTGATCGTTGATCACCGTCGCGAGGATGGACTTTCCTGACGCAGGATTGCCGGAAATAGCGAGCGTCTGCCGGTTCCCCTTCAAGAAGCGATTCAAATAGGGCATCATCCAAACACAGGTTGATTCCTCACGCTCTTGGGCAAGCTGGGCTGTGGCCTCGACTACATTGGCAAGGACAGGGTCCTCCGGCTCAAGCCAGCGCTTGATCGTCTTTGTGTCGGTTACTGGAATGCTTGCATTAACATTGTAGCCCAGGACAAACAAAAAGATAGTTACAATACCTTTGGTACTGTCGTACCCCTCGCGCTGCAGCTGGTATTTCCACATCAACTCGGAAATACGCTCGCATCGACTGCGGAAATTGTGGATCGGGTCAGAGAACTCGCTGTAGATATCAACATGCAAGTACCCCGCCGCTGGGATCGTTTTACGGAAGTGCGTTGCAATTCCCACGACCAAGGTCACCAGGTCGGCAAGAGCCAGACTAAGCTGGTCCTTAATGTCGCCAGAAACCTGAAATAATTCTGCCCGATCGAGGACACTTCCCAAGCCCGTCGAGCAGCGATAGAAGAAGCCGAACAGACTCATGAGGGCGCAGGAATTTTCTTCACCCAGCTAGAATATCATACGGCTTAGACTGTGTTTGCTTCTTGGATAGGGAGAGCCACTCACTTTTAACAGGCTTGCACAGTGAACATAGGCGAGTTGAGCCGCTAGATGGCTATCTCCCGCGAATTCTTCAATTGCCTTATCGAACGAATGCAACCGCTCTACAAACAATGCTGCCCATACTAGCATTTTGTCATAGCTGCTTCCTTCGGCGGGAAGCTTCTCCATCCTCTCCGCTCGAATCCATTCTAGAACTGTGGCGTAATCCGTTTCCAGGATTTTTGTCGATATCATCGCATCACTGCTGCGACGAGCAAGCGAGTCAACCACATCAGCTAGCATTGACTTATCCCCGTCGGATTTGATGGAGCTCTGGGAGACAGTACTCCATCTGAACACACTATTAGAAACACTCCCATTGTTTGTTCCGCTAGTTGAGTGGGTATATAGAGGGGACCCAAAAGGGTGGGAGACGTGAGCCTGAAAAGAAGTAGCCATTTTGGTATAAGATACTCGGAGGTAGGAGAAATGCGGTTAAAGTAATTAAATGGATGAGGTTGTTATGGGGTAATGATTAAGTATGGAGATCAGGAGTACGTATGCTTAGAATTATAGGAATGAAGGACAGAAAATAAGGCTTCATGTACCAGAGACATCCCATCTTAAATATCCAAGCCCTCAAGATCCTCAATCCCAAGCTGTACATAACCTGACCCCACATCGTGGAACTCATGATGAAATAGAGGAAAGCTTCCTGCCATCCTATTCAGGCATCATTCTACGACTAACCACTTCCGATGACGAAATATACCATGGCCCTATCCAATTGAGGGCGTGCATTCAAGTCGGCGTTACCGAAGAGTAGTAATAAAGAGGACCCAACCTGCTCTTGATTTCAGCTACAGATACTCCATATCCGAACCTTGAAATGCAGGCATACATAGTCAATCCGCAGAGTGTCCGAGTCTCTATTCACTTGAAAGGTGCGCTGATGCCGGTGTCACCGAAGTCGTGAGACAAACGACCTACATGAGCAACACGAAGTATTGTACTACTGTCGGCATCGCCGAACTAGTGAGGGACCTCCTAGTATTCATAGTGGGCCGGAATAAACCTAAAACACAGATAATAAGCATTATTATAGCAAACGTAAGTATTGTGGGTACAGCAATCCATGGACCGGTGTCGAGATATACGTCCAAAGAAAGAAAGGAAGAAAAGCAAAAGTCGACTACCTAACAGTGATGTCGATCTGAAGTCTAAAAATGGCATACTCAAGCCCATGGTGGATCGTCAATGGTCGATAATCGAATCGGTACCACATGGAAAAACAGCCAAGGTAGGGTACTGTTTCCGCATGCGGCCCATTCTAAAGCTTCGGGTCTGCCATGATGAAACGTTGGTACTCCCCAAAAATCACTTTCTTTTTGGTTTTTCGTTTCTTTTCTGACCGGAACAATATTTCCGACAGGAACCCCAAAGCATCTCGGGTATGGAGAGAATATTCGGAGCCGTCAACGCCGTAGCATGATCGGTCGCCTGAACCACCACCCACTCAGTCTACATTCCATCGTATCCGAAAGGTCTGCTCTCTGAACACAGCGACTGGTTGTCATGTCAATGATTATCAAATACCCAATGAAAATCGTTGACTTGTGGGTCTGCACCCGCCCTAAGGAAACAGCCTGACCGAAGCATCTCGCAGAGAGCTTTGCAGCTTGTTGGAGCTTACTTACTCAAGAATTCATTTCTACCAGTTTCATACGAGCCATTTAGTTTTTCTACTTTCGAGGGCCTTGGACCGCCCAGCCACTATAGTCGAATTCAAGATGATAGAACAAAGACCACCCCAATCTCCTCCTCCGCAGGCCCAATGCAGCAGTCGTATGACTGAGATGGGAACATGGACGGCGAATATATCTTCTCGCTCAGACACGAATAACAAACATCACGTTCCATCGTCTCCACCGAGCCACTTGGAACCTATACATAGCTATGGAGATGTGCACTATAATACGGCCAGTAGACCGCAATCCCCGGTCTGGAATCGCAACGAGCGCCAAATTAGCCTTAGCTCAGACCAATCTGTAGCGCTAGATGCTGACCCCACCGAAGGCCCCGTGTCCTGTGAGGCCAATATTCAACTGGATGGGCCAGAGGCAGAATCCGCCCCATGCGCCGAGAAAATCACGTTGAAGGCATTGTTGGAAAAGATCCGACAGGAGAAGGGAACTGAGCAAGTGGATTTACTCAGTGTGTGCTTTGGAGAACCTGGGGTCGACCTCAATGTACACATTCAGGGTGATTTTACCGTGACCTTATTGTAGGCTTGTTTCCTTTTCTTCTCAACCCTTTGACCTCTGATTCTATTGTGGACAAACATTAAGCCTAATGTGCTAATAAAACAACAGGATCTAAGACCTGAAATTTGAACCGCCAACAGTATATTGTTGGATGATTCCTTGGTACTCTGCATTGATTAGCTTTACTATGTTCAGCTCTTCCGTGCCACATTCATTTCAGCTGAGGGTGAATACATCATTTCCTTTCACTAAACTTAGATAGAGTCAAATACACAAGCTGGATACAAACAAATAGACTTTATTCAAACTGTTGGAAATCGACAACTAGATGATTTATGTTTAATCATAGACACGTCATGTATGTACTGGGCTTCAGATATTGCAAACTGAACCATTGATCAAATACTGCTCAAGACTTTAAAATTATGTTTGTAATGTTTCTGTACTTCAGTCAGGCTTCTGGCCACCGATTGAACTATAGAGCGTCATAGCTACCCATTGAGTGCTAGCTATCTATGGGATTCGTATGTGGTATTTAAAGCCGACGTGCGAGGAATATATATTTACGGACAGCTGTAATAACGTTTCAATCGATTGTTGTAATCCAGGATAATAGTATACCATCTGCAACAGTCGTGATGTAGTTATACTGAATGATCTGCTGATACCAAGTAGACCTTGTCCATTAGTGGAGTACTATTCCAATACCCTTTAGCTGAGAATCATTTCCTCTGAGCTTTCGCTCCGGACCCGGACTGAATCGGGACCGAATCCGGAGCGGAGCGGTTGATCGGCAATATCCACACCGCCTACTGGAACAAGACTACGAGCCAGGAGGAATTTTGGTTATTTTACGGTAACATACAGTAAGCCAAGAATAGGTACAGGATGGAACATCTCGGAAAAGCTGCCAGATACGCAACTAACCAAGGAAAGATGATCTCACGTGAAGCTCGCATGATTACCTGTCCTAAAGTATCATCTATGTGAATAGATGTTTTGAATTACTTCAACTTGCGATATACCTTTTGAAGTCCACATAGACATATATAGCAATATGCTCAATTCATCACACACCGACTGTGGTTCATTTAGGCATCCCACGCAGTCAGCTCATATCACCCACACATCTCGGGGCTCGTCGCTTCCCGAGTAGCCCGAGAATTGCGAAGACATATGCTGGCAAGCCGAAAATCTGGAAGTATATTTAGGGAGGCCACCATGCTAAAACCACAACGCTATCAGTCAATGTACATATATCGAGTTTACCAAAGATGAAAAACAACAGTAATCCCAACTTGGCATGCGCTTCGCGCTCTCCTATGGAAGAACTCACCCGAAGTTTGGTGAATGACGTCGAGGTACTGAACGAACACCTTGCTTCCACTGGTCATCCCCTGCCTTCATTCGATCGCCATACACCCGTAGTGGTGCTGCCCAATGGCGCCTCTCCGGATGCTCATGCTGCAAGAGAGCGAATCCTGGACAATGCCTTGCGCCTCTTTCAACTTGCCGCAGGACCGGGTGCGTATTTGTTGAATTTGCAGACAGGGGTAAGATAGCAACGTCTGAGGGCAGAGTGTTGTCGTATTAATTGAAGATTAGTATCACTATGCATCTTGCGTACGATGGTTATGTCACTTTCGGATCTTCCACCTAGTGCCTTTAGAGGGCTCCATTGCTTACGCTGACCTTGCCATCCTTGCCAAGGCACCTGAGTGTCAACTCAGAAGTGTCGTTCGCATGGCTATGACAAGTGGTCTTTTCCTCGAAAGCCCATCGCAGCACGTGTCACACTCTGCCACATCTGCTTTGCTGCGCTATGATGCCGATTTCCATGATTGGGCTGTCACCATGAGTGACCTATCCGTTCCGGCTGCCTTTGCAATGGTCGAAGCGCACGAACGGTGGCCGGATAGTGTTGAAGGAAGTCACACGGCGTATAATATCGCGGCTGACACTGAACTGCCCTTCTTCAAGCATTTGGCCGCACAGCCAGATCGAAAACGGCAATTTGCTGGCTTTATGCGCAGCATGGCGCGCAGTCAAGGAACAGATGCCGAGAAGCTCGCGGAAGGATGGGACTGGACCGCCCTTGGACAAGCTTGTGTAGTCGACGTAAGTGCTGGTCCACTTGAACTAAGATATTCAATGCTGATGAGGATAGGTGGGTGGGTCCACCGGTCATACTTCGGTAGCGCTGGCCCGCAGGTTTCCTGACTTGAACTTTGTTGTGGAGGACTTGCCCGAGGTAGTGGCTGAGGGCCCTGGGTATCTCTCCTCCCTGGATGATGCACAGAGCCTGAGGCCGCGCATTTCGTATCGAGCACATAGTTTTTTCGATCCGCAACCCGTGCAAGACGCTGATGTATACATGCTGCGGATGATACTGCACAATTGGTCGTTCGATGACTGTGTGCGGATACTGTCACGCCTCGTCCAGACTTTGAAGCCTGGTGCACGTATTCTTATTGTCGACATTGTGTTGCCTGATCCGGGTGTGATTCCAGCATCCAAGGAAAGGTTGCTGCGTGTCCAAGACCTGATAATGCGGCAGGTGTTCAACAGTATGGAAAGATATTTGGAGAACTGGATGGATATCTTTAAAAAGGTCGATGAACGGCTTAGTGTGAAGAGGATAGCGGAGCCTCACGGAAGTTTAATGTCGCTGATTGAGTTAGGTATGGATTTATAGAAACGGATATAACTGAGCTCTATGAATGTGGGTGGTATATGCTTTGAGAATCTGAAGGAAAATGTACAAGTGTTGCAACCCTTAGATTTCATGTAAACATCTTTATGCTCCCTCATGAAGACAAACCTAAAGGCATGAAGAAACCCTGTACAGTTTTGTTTTGATATTTACCATTGCCCGTAGAAACTTGCTACTCTGTGCTAGGCATTCTGTGATGCTCCAGCCTTTGATGAACACTATTTCCCATGCCTTCTCAAAACAATTGGACAGAGGTACACTAGCCGAGAGGCATGGGAGTTGGCAAACCAGATTCTCCAGTCGCTCTGCTTGTATAGAGGCCATATTATACATCTACCTTGAGTTAAGGTTCTAGATACATGTTCGAAAGTAATCATGTATGTGAACATCAACAGGCACTTTGCCGAACTGTATTCTTGTCTATGAGTGACCGTAAAACAGAATGATGATAATGAGGTAATATGAAAGAGCTACCCCGAGACACTCCGTGGGTGATCGTTGGGGCCGAGTCTCGCTATAGTCGGCTTCCCCGGGCCCATCGGAATACGTCGGACATTTCGGTGTCCTTGGGGGTTTGGCTGGTTTCCCGAATGATGCGAACACGGCCCAGGCTCACACAGCCCCGATGATGCCAGTGTTGCTTTGCCTTCTCAAGATTTATATACTGCAATATGAATGTGAATTCAAAATGTAAGTTCTATACCTACCCGCTTGTGAACGCTAGCAAATATGGTCAATATTTACCTTTTTGGGGATCAAACTATCCGAGTGGACGACGCCCTCTACAAGCTATTACATGTGAAAGATAACCCAACTTTAAAATCCTTTCTTGATGAAGCATTTGCTGTTATAAGGAAGCAGATTTTCCTATTACCGGCAAATGAACGTACCTCGTTGCCGGATGCACACACCCTCCCGCTTCTACTAGATGCCGTCAGGAATGGACGACGCCATGTTGCCCTAGAAAGTGCATTAGTATGCCTTTGCGAGATAGGGCAATACATTCTGTTAGTGGTGTCATATATATCGACCGTTTTCATACTCATCTATGCATAGACTCTTACAGACTACGGATCTTTCCCATCCGCCAACTAGTTCCATCCTAGTTGGGCTTTGTACCGGATCTCTCGCAGCCGCCGCAATTTCCTGCGCACGAACCAGTATTGACCTGCTCGCCCTTGGCATTGAGGCCGTGGTAGTTGCATTTCGGGTTGGAATGCATGTAGCGCGACGGGCTAATACATTGGCCGGGGAAGACTCTTTGCAGTGGAAACCATGGTCACTCGCCGTGGCAGATATGCCAGAATTAGAAGCTGAAAAGATACTTGAGAACTTTGTCAGGGATGAGGTAAGTGGTGGACACACCAGCAATACGCATGGCACTCATTGGCCCGCTTAGAATATCCAAAGCATTGTGAAGCCGTACGTCAGCGCCGCTGGCAGCAATACAGTTACGATCAGCGGTATCCCAAGAGTGTTGGAAGCATTCAAGAACTTCTCATATCCTCGATGCACAAAGACATGGCCTGTGTCAATATATGCACCATATCACGCGGCACACTTATACAGCGAGGCCGACGTTGAAAATATCCTCAGATGCAAGCCAATCGAAAGATCTCTGTTTCATCGTGAATCGAACGTTTCCCTCATATCATGCGCTACGGGCATGGTCCTGAAGGAGAGGACATTTGGTGATTTGGTTCAAGCATTGATCAGGGAGATACTAACTTGCAAGGTGCGGTTCGACAAGGTTGAGGAGAGTGTTGTTCAGCGTAGTCCTGATGCTACCGCTCAAATCATCCCTATACACACGAATGTTACATCCAGGATGAAAGCATCACTAACACAAGCCGGCATTGAAGTGAAGTGCTTAAAAGGGACAGCAAACCACGGACCGGCAGTCGAGACTTCACCAGAGCCTGCCAGCAATGACTCATCCAAGATTGCCATCATTGGCTTTAGTGGTCGCTTTCCGGAGGCAGACAGTCTGACCGAATTCTGGGAACTATTGCAGCAAGGGTTGGATGTCCACAAGCCTATTCCCGCCGACAGATTCGACCGCGAGGCTCATTACGATGCTACACTGCGACGAAAGAACACTAGTCGTATCAAACATGGTTGCTGGATACGAAACCCTGGAGCATTTGACGCGCGTTTCTTCCAAATGTCCCCGCGCGAGGCATGCCAGACGGACCCTGCCCAACGCCTGGCTCTGCTCACAGCTTACGAAGCCATGGAAATGGCTGGGTTTGTTCCGGATCGGACGCCGACAAGCCGGCGGGATCGCGTGGGCGTATACTACGGCATGACAAGTGATGACTGGCGCGAGGTTAATAGTAGCCAAGATATTGATACATATTTCATCCCAGGGGGTATCCGAGCTTTTGTTGCCGGCCGCATCAATTACTTCTTTAAATTCAGTGGACCGAGCGTCACAGTGGACACGGCATGCTCATCCAGCCTAACAGCTATTCATACTGCCTGCAACGCTCTACTCAACGGTGATTGTGACACTGCCTTGGCCGGTGGCACAAATATTTTAACGAACCCCGACAACTTCGCTGGCCTTGACCGCGGGCATTTTCTATCCGCAACTGGAAACTGTAAAACGTTCGATGACGGTGCGGACGGATATTGTCGTGGAGATGGCGTGGGCACCGTCATCCTCAAGCGCCTTCCGGATGCAATAGCTGACAACGATCCTATATTTGGTGTGATCGTAGGAGCCCGAACCTCACATTCGGCAGAGGCGGTCTCAATAACCCGCCCTTTGGCTGATGCGCAGGCACAACTATTCAAACAATTACTGGCAGAATCTGGTATTCATCCACACGAGATCAGCTACATCGAAATGCATGGCACAGGGACACAGGCGGGTGACGCAGTGGAGATGAAATCAGTGCTTGACAGTTTCGCTTGGGATGATAGCCGGGGTTTAAATAGGCCGTTGCATCTGGGGTCTGTCAAGGCGAATGTTGGCCATGGCGAGTCAGCATCTGGTGTGACGGCATTGATCAAGGTCCTGCTGATGATGCAGAAGAACCGGATTCCGCCACATTGCGGCATCAAGGGACGAATAAACCACCACTTCCCTACAGATATGGAGCAACGCAATGTGCATATCCCATTCAAGGAAACTGACTGGGTGCGTCCGGGTGAAGGAAATCGCCGCTCATTCATAAACAATTTCTCTGCAGCCGGAGGCAACACGGCATTGTTAGTTGAAGATGCACCGTTATTAGAGAGCTCTGGCGCTGGAGGCTCGTCAGATCCACGACAATATCATGTTGTTACTCTCTCCGCTCGATCATCGAAAAGCCTGTCAAAGAACATGCGCGCTCTGGGCGAATTCATTGGATCAGAAACCTCCCCGGGCCTCTTAGCACACATCGCATATACGACGACCGCTAGGCGCATGCACCACTCCTACCGTGTAGCCTTCGTAGGAAATGACCTACAAGAAATTAAGCGAAAGTTGCTGGACACAGATGTGATAGAGGATATCACGCCTTGTCTAACCAAATCGCCCGGCGTAGGTTTTCTCTTCACGGGTCAGGGTGCACAACAAACGGCTATGGCGCGGGATCTATACGACAGCTTCGCTTCGTTCCGTGCGGACATAGCCGAGTTTGAGTCTGTCGGTCGCGGGCATGGATTTCCCTCAATACTCCCTCTGCTTGAAGATGCAGTTGACATTGAGGAGTTGTCCCCTATAATAGTGCAACTTGGTACCGTGGTGATCCAGATGGCAATGGCACGATTATGGCAGAACTGGGGCCTGACGGCGCAATATGCGCTCGGGCACAGTCTTGGTGAATATGCAGCCCTACAACTGGCAGGAGTGCTCAGCATCAGCGACACAATCTACCTAGTTGGGTCGCGGGCTGCATTATTAGAGAGAAGATGCACAGTGGGGTCACATGGGATGTTGGCAGCCAAAGCATCTGTTGCTGACCTAGAAGAGGTTCTCAAGGGTGCGCAAGTAGAGGTGTCGTGCATAAATGGCCCAGATGATACTGTTTTGAGTGGAACAAATGATGAGATTGAGCGAGTCTCCAAGAAGTTATCGGACCTTAATGTGACATCCAAGAAGCTCATTCTACCATTCGCATTTCACTCGTCACAAGTCGACCCGATCTTGGAAGAGTTGGAACATATTGCCAGCCAAGTCACATTCCGAGTACCAAAGATTCCAATCGTGTCACCCACTCTGGGTCATATTATCACAGACCAAAAAATTATTGGGGCCCAGTATATTCGCCGGAATTGTCGTGAGCGCGTAAACTTTCTCGGTGCCGTACAGGCGGCTCAGGCTTCAGGCATCTTTGACTCTGGGGCATTGGCAGTTGAGATTGGTGCACACCCCATCCTCACACGCATGATGAAGGCTGTGGTAGGCTCAAGTGTTAGGGTGTGTCCAACATTATCCCATCGAGAGAACATGTCCAAGACCCTCGCAGGATCATTGTCCGTATTGCACCTGGGAGGAGTGCGGCTGAACTGGGACGAGTACCAACAGGACTTCAAGACCAGTACCCGGGTAGTCATGCTCCCTGAATATAACTGGGATTATCAGGACTGCTGGATTCAGTATCAGAATAACTTTTGCCTGACAAAGGGGTGCCCTGAAAGGCCTATCAGCGCCGATGCTATTGAGCCCATGTCGACTCGGCTGAGCCCTTCTGTCCAAAGGATTGTGGAAGAGGAGATGGATGCCACACGCGCAAGGATTATTATCGAATCTGATATTACTGACCCGGAACTACTGCCAGTGGCGCTTGATCACAAAGTCAACGGTATAACGCTATGTCCATCGGTAAGTGTATAGTCCCTAGCATTCTTTCGATATACTAATAAGAACGTTTAAAGTCTTTATATGCGGATATTACCCATACATTAGGTGTATATCTGTTAGGCAAGAAAGAGAATTTAACAGAATATAAAATAGATATCTGCAACGTGGTTGTGGAAAAAGCTCTAGTCGTCAAAGGGACTGGGTCACAACTCTTCCGTGCATCGCTTGATATGGACTGGAACATGCTCCGTGGAATGATGAAGGTGTACAGCATTGACGACACAGGAGCTCCCACCGCACAGCACGCAGAATGTGCCATAGAGCTCCGAAGAGCTCATCTCTGGCAGGAAGACTGGAAGCGCCAGCTGTACCTGATCCAGCGCAGCATTGAACAGCTCAAGAAGGGTGTTGAGGAAGGGTGGACTCACAAGATGCGCCGAGGTGTGGCGTACAGACTCTTCTCGTCGATGATGCAATACGGCGCCTCATATCAAGGCATTGAGGAAGTCATATTCGACAGTTTTGGGCTTGAAGCCACGGCTCAAGTGCGTTTACAGTCAACCAAAGGCAAGTATTCATTGAATCCTGTCTGGTCTGACAGCTTCGGCCATCTGACCGGCTTCGTCATGAATTGTAATGATTCTATTGATCTAACCGAGCACTTGTTCGTGAACCACGGCTGGGGATTCATGCGCTGTGTGGAGCCTTTCTCCCCGGACACGGTTTACCAAACTCACGTCAAAATGCAACCTGTCGCTGGGAACGATGGCCTTTATGTGGGAGATGTTTATATTCTCAACGATTACCGCATCATTGCTCAGTATGGAGCAGTCACATTTCAGAAAGTGCCTCGGCGGGTCTTGGAAATGTTGTTGCCTGCCGCCACATCCAAAGGCCGGTCTTCAAGCATGAGACCAAGAAATGACGATACCTCCCAGCCTGCTACCAGGTTCCAGACTAAAGGACAAACTCAGCCGACTGATTTTGAGGGGTCATGGCAGCGAGTACTGGAAATCATCGCCCGCGAGATTGGCATCGATCCTGGACAGCTCACTGAGGATGTGAACCTTACCGACATGGGAGTTGATTCGCTTATGTCTTTGACCATTATTGGTAATTTTCGGGAGTTCCTCGGTCTAGACGTACCATGGTCGCTTTTCGAAGACTGTCCATCTGTGCAGTCACTTCGTGTCTACCTCGATATGTCATCATTGTCTGAATCTGAAAGTGGTGAGACAAGCCGTTATCCAACCCCTGATGGATCTACTACGACCGCTATGACATCTCCTAGTAGATGTGACAGGGACGTGGAGAGAAGCTCAGGAGTAGATGGTGTGAGAACTACCGTGGCCTTGGTCTTATCCATACTAGCCGAGGAAATGGGTGTAAATCATGGAGATCTCTCCAATGCAGATGACCTGGGCGAATTTGGCCTAGATTCCCTCCTGTCACTCACAGCTCTTGGAAGAGTGCGTGATGAAACGGATCTAGACCTCCCCAATGACTTCTTTCTAGAGCACTCGAGCGTTGCTTCAATCGCGGCAGCGCTGAGAACAATGCTTGCATTTACAGAGCAAGGTCCCGAGCAGAATTTAATTACCAGTCATCCACCCGCCACGTCGACAACGCTCCAAGGCAACGAAAGCTGCCCACGGACCCTGTTCCTCTTCCCTGATGGGTCTGGGTCCTCCACATCCTATTCAACACTACCCACCATTTCTAGAGATGTACACGTATATGCGATGAACTGTCCGTATTTGAAGCGGCCAAATGAGCTCACCCAGTGCCAACTCCAAGACCTTACCCCAGTCTACGTAGCAGAGATCCGTCGACGGCAACCACGCGGCCCATACAACCTCGGCGGTTGGTCTGCGGGTGGGATTGCTGCATATGAAGCCGCACAGTATCTCGTTGATCAAGGGGAAAAGGTTGAGCGACTGCTATTGATAGACTCTCCAAATCCAATGGGCTTGGGAATGTGGCCACCACATTTCTACCGTTTTCTTGGGGAAGCAGGAGTCTTCGGTGTGCAAGGCGGGCGGACCCCTCCAGCGTGGCTATTGCAGCATTTCCAAGCCTTTAACGAAGTACTAGAACAGTATACACCGGAACCCTTTCGCCCAGCTAACGCGGCCCCCCGTACTACTCTCATCTACGCACAGGATGGTGTATGCAAGTCGCCGAGGGACCCTCGGCCAGAACGACAACCGGGTGACCCAGAGGTTATCTCTTGGCTGCTAGAAAGCCGAGTGAACATGTCATACAACGGATGGGATGGAGTACTTGGGGTGGATAACATCCATTTAGAAACAGTATCTGATGCTAACCATTTCACCATTGTTCGAACTCCAGCGGTCGTTCGTCTGGCTGAAATAGTGCGGATGGCGATGTCTCAATAATTTCCAATAGTTGTGTTTCATTATACTTCCACAACCCAATGTGTGCTATCCAAAGTCCTACATGTAGGTCGTATGCGCTTGTCTCCACTATTATGAAATGCAGATTTGTACATAATATCCCACTAGCTTTTACATTCCTAGACATCACCCCTATCCAAGTTTGCGCGGAGGGGCTAAATTCTACACACCCAATCCAGGTTGCATAATCCTTTTCAAACGCCTGCAATTCGTAACACAAACCAAGGTTCACAGTCCCAAACCTCCACGAAACACCGCCCAGCCGGGAGGGTTCTGAATATATGTGGCTGAATACGTTCAACACGTGGGTTGGTATATGGGCTGTGATGAGGCGCAGCGCCAACTGATTAGGGCTGCCCACAACCAGCGAATGAAAGTCCGAACGATTCCGTGACTTCAGTGGTTTGGCCAATTGATATTAAATGCCCCATGATGGGGGCCTCAAGTGGGGCCACGTGTGGAATGAAGATAGACACAGTCAGGAATAAAAGCGCCAGAACTGAGGACGTGTTTGCAGAGTATGTCAATCCAAGGGCAATATTTATTTGCCACTGGCTTTATCAGGGGCCATGAAGATAATATTGCAGGTACACTGCCTCGTGCACCTATGAAAAGCAGGCCTGAACCTATTCACCATCCAACGGCAGATGCAGCAAGCATGGAAGGGTATTTTTGGACTGAAACTTGGTATGAATCCCTAAGCAGATCATGGAAGGGGCTTCCGTGGTTGGTACAGGATTGGGACCCTTGGAGGATCCATGGATGATTCAGCCCTGTACCTTGACTTACATCCGGACTGATAACCAACACATAATGGGAAGAATGAGGTTATTGAGCTGGGACACCCTAACGCAATCCATTAACTGGTAGATCGTGCTCATATTACCCTTATGCTCGCCTTCCTTCACTTATGGCTCGACTGTTTATGTTTAAATGTAACTGTCCACCTTGAAATTGAAATCAGTCAGACATACTCGAAATCGACCAAGACAGCCTATCAACCTACTATCTGACGATGAATACCACAAGAACACCGAGCCATCGATCGGGAAAGCCAGTCAAACTAAGGGCGAGCTGTGATTTCTGCGCCCTGTCGAAAGTCAAATGCGACCGTGGCCAGCCGCATTGTGTACGGTGCATCAAGAGCGGTATTAGCTGCAACTATAGTGAATCCCGTCGTATTGGCAAAGCCTGGCACCACTGCGCATCTTCTATTGTGAGGCCTACTAGCTCTACCATGCAAGATACTCGGCGAAAGCAGCAGGCGATGGCGCAAAATCCACCAAGGGGGGGAAGCTCTCGAGATAGTCGAGCCCCCAGCACAGCCGACGATGACATGTCACCATATGATCCTTATCAGTCATCTAATTATGCGTCGCCCTTCAGCATTTTCCATACCCTGCCTTCCACAGGTCCCGAGTCAACTACACGATCTGAAACTCACCTTGAATCTTACCCAAGTCTCGATGGAACGGTGGCACCAATCATTCACAGCCCTGAGCAAGCTGACATGTCTCTTCCTGTTATACCACACATGGCACGATTACGAACAAATGAGATGCCAAACGAATGCCCATTGAATTTACATTACAACCAATCGTGGGGCGCGATTATGGCAGAATCTACTACCGATATCGGGGATGTTGGAGACTGCCTTACACGCGCGGCCGCCGTCTTGCAGACGGTGCGTGATCCGCGGATACCCTGTATGCGATCGAACACACCCCCAGTGAATCATATACAATCGTTGGATACGACCCTTGACAATGGTCGTACGGCGATGGACACAGTGAAGGGGATCCTAGGCTGCCCCTGTGCTCAAGGGATGCGCGTCGCTCTGTTGCTGGTGCTTATCATTCAGCAAGTTTTGGAATCCTACCAAACACTCCTGACCCAACAACATGATACACTGCAAGATGAGTCGCCATTGAGCTTTAGTCTGTCTAGCTACGATACCCCGATGGCTATTGGTCGATACCTCCTGGATAGTGAGTTACGTTCGAAGATTATTGCCCAGGTTCTTTCGTCGGAGCTTGACAAAATCGGTTCGATTCTGGACATCCTGACCCGGCATGCCCAAGGCATGGCTCATCGGCCCGAAGAGTTGATCTTGGGGACCTATATTGGCTCATTGCAAACAACAAGAGAAAAGGTTCTAGAGTCGCTTCAGCAGGGGAATGACTTTTAGCAGATGAACAGGATTCAGGTCCAAATGGTCTCCCCTGACATAACTCTCATCCATATTTGTGTCCTTCTTTGCTTTATTTATGTATATGATTCCGTACAATATTATCCACCGAAATATTAAGACTCGCATTGAGCCCTACGGTGCCTAGTAAATTGCGCTATATCAGACCTGCTCATATGTATTGGAACTAATGAGGGAATTGCGCAAAGGCCCTTGGTCTTGCAAACCAACAGTGCCCTGACGTAAACGAGAGATGTCTACCAAAACACTACTGGTGGATCGTTCAGCCTCAATTATGGGACCGATGTGGCCGTGTGCTAATGCCAAATGAGAAGAGCCGAAAGCATGTACATATGCATTTTATGGTTCTAAGTGACAGATACCAATTAGAATTTGCGTGGCAGTGGAGTATACGAGATGGTCGCCGTAAGGCCTCCCATCATCCCGGATCGACCTTGCAATACGCTTATTATAGAACAATGGTACTTCACACTCTACAAATCATCACGATATGTGTAATTAGTAATATTCTCCTTGTACCTAAGCTGAAACAAAGACTCCTACCAGTTTTGTCATTCTGCGACCATGGTACGCCTATTTTGTGTAGAGCGCGAGTGTGCAGACATCATTGCGCTTATCCTGTCGTTGTCGGTTGACGACAAGGATCTCTTTCAGGTTCATGATGCAGATGCACTGTAATAAGATAGTTGTATTATTCAGCCTCTACTATTTACGCTGTGAGCCGAATTGAATCGGGTTTTCCCCTTCCTCATCCAACATTAGCTGAAGCGAGCGAACACAGATGTTGTACCTAGTCTTTACCAGGGAGACATCAAGTATGTCAGGTGTATTAGACGGTATTCTAGAAGCAGTGAACAATTGGTGCAAAGGGCCGCCATACTGACGGTACCTTGGTGTGCATATAGCCCGTCATTCGTGGCTTAGAACCGCGGTACATGAGCCGGAGCGAGAAATAAAAATAGGAAATGTTCGTGTTTCGCCAGGAAAGGACGATGAAAGATCTATCTTACATTGTTAACCACTTCACGAGTCGTACTTTGAGCCTAGTTATGTATCTGTGCTGTTTGTTAGAGTCGGTTCCAAAGGATGCCTGGAGAGTCCCCTTCAGTCCCTTCCTGTTGACCGCAGTTAGGGTATAAGACAAGCGTTATGGTAAGCAAAATAGACTACTTTCCCCGGTCCGAATGTACCATACATCCTCTTGAGGCAAAATCCAGCGTTCATTGGCGATTTGGAGCCGCGGACCTCGGACATCGCAGCCCATCAAGCAAAGCTGTACATGCCCGCGTCCCTAGTATAAGTAGGTGAATCATAAGAACAATTTCAGTTACAAAATATATCCTTTCTACTCAGGGAAGGAATTAACTTTTCCCCCGCATTATATGTAACAGTTCTCAACAATACACAATTCTCAGCTACAGTTGTCAAGGCAATACCATAACTCGTCTCCTCGACTTCAACTCTGGACCTTCTCATACATCACATCGGTCCGCATGGTATACTTCACTCCCCGAAATACATCATCTCCAGCATGGCAGAGCCCTCTCTGTTGAAAGACCAGCACCGAGCCTGCCTTTGGAAACACTCTCACCACTCGCTCCCCAGCGAAAGACTCAAGTCTGAATGAGGTCGCACCTCCGAGGAGGATTTGCTCTTTTGCATCCTCAAGGTTTTCCTCCTCTTCCTCAGACTCCATAGCCTCATCCGCATCTTCATCTCCGAATACCACTTCACAATCGGAATTGCCATCACTACCACGAGCATCCATCCGTTCCCGTCTCGTGATCGCCCTCTGGAGCTCACCTTCATCCTGGTCTCCCTCACCATTCAAATACAAATGCACTGTAAAGAGTGATCTCTCTCGCTCATCCGGAGTAACATAACACCCATCAGTATGCGGACGGAAATACTCCCCACCCGTATATTTCAAAAACCGCAGTTTCTCATTCAATCGTGTCAGCTTGAAGGTCTCACCGCGAGTGGCGGGACCAGCCCCCGTCACGAGAGGCTGGTTGGAAATCTGCACAATATCGCACTCTCGCAAAAATGGTAGCAGTCGGTTGAGTAGCCTATCTGCAATATCTGGCGAGTCATATATGATACGTCCGCAGTTGCGGAAGCCGGGTGCTTTAATTTCTTTCCCGTTGCCGACGTTCAACAGGGCGCGGTCCCAAGGAGTTTCCCCTGGGTTGATATGAGTGGTGTTTTCGGGTCTTATAGATTGTTCGGCGAGGTGCAGGAGCTGGCTGCATTCGGCTGGGGTGAGGATGTTGTCGATTAGAGCGGCGAAATGGTTCTTGTAAGCAGGGATGGGAGGCGTGGTTTTAGTGAAGTCGAGCTTCTTGATGGTCGCGTTAGGAGGAGGGCGAGCTTGGAGGAAGTATTTTGGAATATGCATTCTGTACGATTATGTTTTTGAGGCGTTTGTTAATGGCGTGGTTATCTACATAATGGCAGATCAGGATGTTCATATAAGTTGGGTGACTCATTCAGCCTTGTTGCTTACCCAGCACCCGGGAGGCTGAGCCTCATAACCTTTCTATTTTGCCATCAGAACCCACATATACTACGTATAATATAGCTGACTGCTCAAACATGGCCTGTAGTGCTGATTCTTCAGTTAACTTTAGCACAAAGGAAAGGGCTTAATCATCATCAATCAATAGTGCAAAACCCCGATATAAGGAACTACAGCCAATAGACCCTCTCAATCTTTACCCATAGGGTTTCTAATAATAGGCAAGCATATATATTAGTATAATATTTAAAAACACTTACGAACATAGCCATACAGCCGGACCCATAAGACCACTATAATCAGGCCCGAATAGGTTAATCTGAATCCGTTATCCTTTAGACACCCATACATATACAGCTAACTGTTGGTGGTATCTTTTATCTACTGGGCTAAAGTATCTACCGTCGATACCCTACACCCTCTTATTAGAAGATTTGTTGATCGCGCTTGTATTGCTACTATCACAATATGGTGTCTAACCTAGCTTTATCAAACATAGCGCTAGCTGAAAATATGATTATAAACAGTGGGCTGAGTGCAGCCCAGATGGCGGATGTTGCTGAGCCATAAATGAACAACCAGGAGGTTGCTGTTAGAGATATCTACTATTCAAGACACCCTGCTTCTACTTCCATTATGTTTTGCCAAGTCCGTTTATTAAATTATCCTTACATTACAGTGATCCCGAGGTGGCCCCTGATAAGCTTACTAAAATGATTTATGTGTATGAAACGTCAGCTGCCTCAGGCAACGATTTAAATTACCCCGCCGTTTGCCCATCACCCTACATAGATTTCGATCGTGCAGAGGTGATTTGTCCTGTTTCGATCCCAATGCATTCTCCTCTGCAACCATGACCATCTTTGATCTCCCTAGTATATACACCTCGTAGCCGTTGGTCTACAACGCTCCGAAGGTATACCGTTTGGCCAGAGCGAGGAACCAGCTGTATCCGCTGCCGGGTAGTGTAGGGGTAGTGACTTAGTTGCTACCATGTCCTTAACTGTTATTCTACACAGTATAACCGGAATGTCTGGCTCTGGTTGCATTCAGATCGGCTGGTAAACGTAAGTAACCTACTGGCCAAAGAGACAGAAGACTAGAACTAACGCCGAAAAGGTTCCTCCATGACGTGAGTTTGCCGATGATGACTTGTAACCCTCAGGCAGTATGTCATACGCTTCCATCCATTCTCTGACAGATCGAATATTGCTTATATTGCACTAGAACGCTCGTGTGCTGCGAGCCTGCGCACAGAGCGCTCAGCACATGCATATCTGCCTTGTCCATACTCTGGGATCCACTCCTATTGCTGCGTATCCAATAAACCAGGTCTCTCACCGCCCTTTTAAAGGGCGGTTCTTTAGTGTTCGATCTCCCTACGGGTCTGATTAAATTAGGGCAGGGCGGTGGGTATATACCTACCAGTAAGGAACTCTGTATCAAAGTCCTATGGTAGCTATAAATCTAGTACCTACTGGTTATGATCCCATACGCATACTATAAAATATACTTTATAACGGAAGGATACATTGAGACTTGATAACACACCTTGGACGCCAACTCAGTGCAAGACATAGGAAATGCCGCGTAGATTGCTAGATTGCGATCGACATAGCCGAAAACCCTGATCACCGTATGGTATGCGGCAGTAGTTCCACTGCAACCCCTACCTTGAAATACTCCGTACGACGCTGTGAAAGATGATTGACATCGTTGTAGAGATTGACGCACTGCTCAGCTCCGCCTCTCGTAGCCCCACAACTGTGACCGAGCTGAAAAAGGCCGAATCCAATAGGATGCCATCTTCGCTGGTTAGAGAGGGGCGAGCTGAATAGGGAGTGAAGAGCTGAATATAGGACCATTGATCATCGTCCGCCCTGCAAGAACAACAAAACATCATGTGTATGGCGTTGAGTTCGGCAGAAGAGTCGGTAAAAGAAGAATGTCTAATAGAAATATATAAACCCCATTATCCCCCTACCATGGCTCGCTCAATATTCCAGTCTCTTAAGCATATCAATCTCATCGCCTCTTCCCACATTCCATCACACCTCATCTCCGTCTCCCTAGATCTTTTGTCAATATGCCCAACACTCTTGGTAACGGCGAATGGCTCAATGTCGGCCAGAGCCTCTGGAGTGAGAATGGTCAAACTGAGTTCAAAATGCAGCATGATGGCAAGATCGCGCTTTACGTGAACCAGGAATGTGTATGGCAGAATACAGCCGAGCAGAGGGACGATGTTAAGGGTCTTCATATGCAAGAAGATGGAAATCTTGTTCTGTAGTGAGTCTATCTTTTCCTATTGTGCCCCAATTCTATCTACCTTTGTCGAGATATAATGAGTTGGATTATACAGCTCTCGTTGATTAACTTGTATAATGCTATCTAGCGATCACAACGACCACGCCCTCTGGCACAGCAATACTGCGCCAAGCTCAGGCCCTGTTATCCTTGCTGTGCAGAATGATGGTAACCTCGTTCTTTACAGAGGCGAGGCCGTCTGGGCCAGCAACACCGGGCATTAATTGCTTCAACGGTACGGTGTCCAAGTTAATGGTTGGAGACTCGGGGTGCATGGGCTTATACAACCTTTACGACAATAAGAAGTTTGGATGAAGAAACAGACGCTTGGTTGGGCGGCTGTACTCACCCATTGCCACTTGTATATATGAATGCAAAATAGACCCTTGGCCTGGTCAAGTTAGCTTACCCTAGCCCGCGGTGAACAATTGAATATAGCTCCGATAGAGCATTTCCTACAAGTGATATACCATAATCATTACGTTGAGTTCGTATTGTTATCATGTAGTTTGATTGAAGAGAGAGGCTGGAATCTAGCACGAACTCAATATCCTAACATCAACTCTCAGCGCCGTGTCTAATATATTTCTGGCTGGCTGGTAACGTTGGCTACATGTATACTCTGTCGATCCGAAGCTATTTCAGCTCGGGTCCAAGTGGATCGACATACTGACGTGTTCTTCTTTGCTACCATCGATTTAAATCAACCTTTTTTCCGTTCCGATCTTAGTGCTAGTGCGGGGCACTTTGGGAGCTAGGAGTAGTGTGTACATACTTGGCGGTCTGTGCTGTGTACGAAGTACTAATATCGTTTCAGTGGGGCTGAGAACAACTCAGCAATCAGTTCAGATCCGGCTGAAGTGGTGTGAGGGGCTTTGTCCAAAGGGTCTTGCAACCAGTTAGCTATCTTGGTTAGGTGGCACGTAAACTACTGGTACGACCGCGGCGTCCAACACAATGCAAGTATATTACACGAAGCAACCTGCCGAAGGGGGAAAGACCAGGTCTATCGAGTATAGATAGTAAATACTACCTGTGTTATCCGATTATGATTATCAGCGTTTACCATGCTAACACCGAAGGGGTCTGATCTTATAGTTCTGCTAATAATAAGATCCCTCAATGTACCGGTGGACGCGCGACAGAACAAATCGTGAGGTTATGAGGACCTCACCATGTGGCTTCACACATCGCAAGATATATATTGCTCATAGACCAAGGTGAGATTAACGATGGTGGGGGCGATGGCAGCACCTATCACATATAGATGTTCAAGGAGACCTTTAATGGAAATTCTTTAACATCTCCCAGGCCCAGACACATTGCATAATGGTTCAATGTTGCTGTACATTTGGTCTTGGGTTGAAGATGATAATCTCCGACATCAAGAACTGGTGGGGAAAGAAAGCGGTAATAACTTCTGCCGGATTAGGCTACCCCTCTGAAAGTCGAAGACTGAATGCCAGCATTGATCCACCTCAACTGCCTCTGTCTTGTGATATCAACTCGTTCGCATCCAAGAACCTTCGTTGTGCCCCCAACATACTTGGTCAAACAAACACAATATCAGCTCAGTCGGTCCTAGTCCATCATGCTGCCAAGTCTCCCTGCTGGAGGCAGGACATTAGTGTACTCAACTGTCGACGGACACGACATTAAGCTAGACTACTACTTGCCCGCTGTAGAAGAAGGATGTTTGCCAGCGGTAATCTATTACCACGGCGGTGGAATGACAGCTGGTTCGCGGCGGAGTATAGGTTTCCAACACTGGTTATATGGTTCGTTGATTTGCGTGCGACAGGAAGAACTTCGCAAGACTAACACGAAAACGCGACAGATCGCTGCCAAGAGAAAGGCTATATCTTCATCTCAGCTGATTACCGACTGTGCCACCCATGCACCGCCTTCGATCAGATTGAGGATGCAAAAGCTCTATTCAGGTTTCTCGCAGGAGAAGGCTTCCAACAGGCGCTCCCAGAAGCCATCTCACTAGACACAAGTCGGATAGCAGTGACTGGCTTCTCCGCCGGGGCCTATTCCGCCCGTGCGGCGTGTGTGTACGCTACCCCCAAACCAGCAGTTCTTCTAACAGGCTATGGAAGCGCGGGCGACTGGCTTTTGGATCACTGGACCACGGGCCGGCCGCCGACCTCCATTGCCAAGTTCGTTGATCTCAATAAGGTCCCAAAGCTGCTTGCAGACAAGACGGTTGTGAGTGATGATACGCCCGAAAGTGGCATCATGTCTAACCGCTTCGCTCTTACTGTCCGGTGGGAATTGGATGGCACGTTCCTCGACGGATCCATTGGCCGGCCTGGATTAGGTGCAGAGTTGAATAAGCTGGAGTATGCACAGCGAGCTACGGCGATTCCCGAGGACTTAAAACCGGCCTTCCTCCAGTTATTTGTCACGGAAAACTACCCTCCATCTGTGTTCGTGCATGGAACAGCTGATGAAGTCGTTCCTGACCAGGAGAGCAAGCATCACCATGAGCAGTTAAAGCAGGTTGGGGTCAAGACAGAATTACTGCTTGTAGAGAATGGACCGCATGGCTTGGTAGACTTTAGTTCTGGAATGCCGCCGGGTCCCGCGAAGGGGTCAGTGGAGGCCTATGACAGAGCTTTTGAGTTTGTTACGGAGGTGTTTGATGCTGTTAAATAAGGTTTTATGTTTAACCTTCACTTCTTCTTGTGCCTAGGGGATACTCGATTAATATAGTTGATAGGTCCTGGGTGGAAGGCCAAGTACATCTACTGACCGGTGATCTCTGCTGTATTGCCTGGAGACCGAGGGCTCACCCGATCACATGAAGAGGTGTAGGCAAGGAAAGTCCAATATTTAATGTGACATTGTGCATGCAGGAGTATAGAGCGGAGACAGCTATCGAAGAACAAAAATCTACAACAAAGAGATATTTGAGCAAGACCATATTCTTCTAGTCGTTAGCGCCCTTCGACATTCCTAAGAGTGACTCACAAACTCTATCCCGCTGTATATGAACCCCCAACGTAAGTAGCGTAAAAACTAATCATTCGATTATAGCTATTCTCTAGGCTTGAATATTATCAATCGCTATTCAAAATGAGCTCCGCCTACTCAGCGCTTCAGGTAAAGAAGTACCTATCGTACCTCTCCCTCCCATCGAAGTACCATGCCTCCGTAGTAACGCCTCATCTCTTCCCAAAAGATGAAGCAGCGCTCACCGTCCTCTTCCGATGTCAAATCACACGATTTCCCTTTGAGAATTTATCCGTCCATTATTCCACTACACATCAGCCAGACATCCACCCGGACACTCTCTATTCCAAGATGATGGGAACTGGGAAAATCGGTCCTACTGGCCGTGGAGGCTATTGTCTGGAGGTAAACATCTTTTTTCACCACATGTTGCGTGGCCTGGGGTTCGATGTGTACACGATAGGAGCAAGAAATCGCGACCGGGTAAATGGGGTACCGCAGGGTGATTATGGAGGATGGTAGGCATTTAAAAAGCAGAGCAGCCATCATTTTGGTTTACTGACTATTGTTAGGGTCCACATGGCCAATATCGTACAACTCCCCTCTGGAGTCAGATATCATCTCGATGTTGGATTTGGTGGGGATGGACCAACTAGTCCGATTCCCCTGATTTCTGGAGCAGCAATCCAGAACCTCGGGACCCAAGAGGTGCGCTTGCTGTACGACAATATCTCCAGGGAATCACAGCGACAGCAGAAGCATTGGATTTACCAGTACCGCAACGGTGTTGACAAGGAATGGAACTCATTCTACTGTTATCCCGATCTGGAGTTTTTCCAGGAGGACTTTGAGGTGATCAATCGATTTGCAGCCTGGGAATTTCTCAAGAGGGATTCCATTGTTGCAGTGAAGTTTATTAGAGGAGGTGAAGAAAGGGAGATTCCCCAGAATCAAGACCCCCTTGCTGGAACCCCGACCGAAGCGGACGAAGTGGATATCGCAGGGAAGATCATGCTAGTCAACAACGAAGTGAAAGTAAATATGGGAGGGAGGACCAGAGTGATAGAATCGCTGGATACTGAAGTTGCTCGAATGAAGGCTCTTCGGAAATGGTTTTCGATTTGCCTTGATTTGAGTTAAAAAGCCCTTTGGGTGTGTATTTATGACTGCAATGCGATTTGCTTGGTAAAGGAAGATAATTACCCTATTATGCTAGATTACAAAGGTGCTGAGCGTCAGATGCCAATGCTTCGAGTCTATACCCACACTCAACAAGAGTCGTGATCTCAGATACATGTATCTTTCACGTTGGTCAATCATGGACAGATATATCGTTGGGCGCAGACGGGCTTTCTGGGTATACCGTCATACTATACATATGATATTGTGATCGGAAGCTGTAGCAAGCCTTTCTGGTGCTAAAATTATCCCGTCTGCCGTTTGCCCACCACCTGCAGGGATGCTAATTCCTTAGGTTTCGTATTTGACGGACTAAATGCTCCGATTGGTTGTGTCGTATGTTAAGGTGGAGGTGTGGAGCTTTGAATGCTACTGTGTTATCATTATTGGCACGGACATGAGGCATTTGTTGGGTCTGATGACAGTCACGGGGGCCGTCATCAACTCCATCAAGCACTGATTTAAGCTTCCCTCCTCCTGGATACATTGGACTTTATAGTATATACAACTTGATCATAACGTCTTTTGCCTACCCAAATTCTCAATTTGTGCCAGGAGCTGTTTGGGGTACGGCCCACATCCTATCTAAGGCAACTTACCCGGTCCAGTTAAATACAACCCCCCATCGATACCGGGAATCGTTATCGACCATGGCAGGCTCAGCTCGAGCCTTCGTGGTTCTCATTCTAGCCATCACCATTGGGCTCTACAAGGTTTACCTACACGATGCAGTCGTTCTCATGCTGGGAATCGGTCGAGTGATTCAGCCCCTGGAAGACTTCCCCGGTTATCGCTGTCAGCGCATCCAACACCCGCTGTTGGAGAGCTGCGAGGACCTCTGGCTCGATTCCAGTAGTCGCAAGCTCTATGCGGCCTGCTCCAATATAGCCGCTCGAAAGGCTTGGAGCCCCGGTGGGAACCTCTACGACCTTGCAGGGCTGGCAGCAAGCGGCAGCTCCGATCACATTACTGTGCTGGACATCGACCAGCCGGGCTCCGACGGGCTATACGGGGTACAAGCACTGGGCTTCCGTAGCGGAGCAAAAGACCAGCAGTTACACTTGCATGGGTTCGACGCTAGGAGGATTGACAACGGTCGCCGGCTGCGATTCTGGCTGATCAATCACCGACCTCCCCTGGACACGGTCACGGGGAAGCCTCTGCTGGACGCGACTAAAGTGGGGGCAAATTCAACCATCGAGGTCTACGATTTGGACCTCGGCAGCGGCCCTAAGAGTAACCATTTACAGCACGTCAAGACAATTGTCAGCGACGCAATCGTCGCGCCGAACAATCTGGTGGTAATCGACGATGAGAAGGGGGACTTCCTGGTCACCAACGACCACAGCACCAAGGTCGGCGCTCTCCGAGACCTGAACTTTCTCTTCGGTGATGGCAGTATTGCTTACTGCCGGACGGATTCTGCAAAGTGCCACTTCGCCACTACGGAGAACTGCTATTTACCCAATGGTATCGCGAAAGACCCTTCATCGGGCCACATCTACGTCGCACATTCCGCCAAAGGAACCGTCGGGGTGAACGTACTCACAGAGGATAACCGGCTCGTCCAAATCGATGGGGTTCCGCTGGCCATGGGCGTCGATAACTTGTCTGTCGATCCGGAGGGAAACATATTCGCCGGGGCGTTCCCAGATGCCCTTCAGTTGAGGAAGGCATTCCTTGACCCTTATGATACCTCGGCACCGTCAACCGTGCTCATGATCCGTAAGAAAGAGAACGGCCACGCACCGGGAGATACGTACGAAGTTGTCAAGGTCGTCGAGGACAGTGAAGCTAGGGTTTTACCAACTACAACAACGGTGGTACATGATCCTATCTCCGGCCGGTTATTCCTCGGGGGAGTGATATCGTCCTTCATTGGAGTTTGCGAAAGGGTTCAGTAGGATAGAGTAGTTCGGATTCAGTCAGTTCCATGGCTGGTATTTCCATCATCGACCGGCAAATGCTTCTGTGAAAGACCTATGATGTAAGACAAACCGAAATTCCTAGATTGTCGTCTAGTTCAGGGCAGAACTCTTAGAATGCGCTAGGGCCAAGAAAGCTCCTGCGACAATTCAAGTGGTCTTTCGTTTATTTTAGTAGTATGATACTTACATAAGTACGCGCTAAAACGTTTACTGCATTGGTATGTCGCAGCGAACAGGTTGCGCTACATTGTTGGCCTCAGCAGCACCTACATACGACGGTCCTTATGTCAGAAGAAACAATAGTGCGACATATGATTTCTACCTCGTCTAGATACTAATTTCAATCAAGGCTAATCCTTGAGATGTAATCATCACAGATATTAGAATAGGAGGCATATGCTTAAATTCACGGTTGGCGATTAGGCCCTTTTGCCGTCAGGAAGTTGAAATCTGCACCTTCATGTGCCTGGTTCACCTCCCGCTCGTAGAGACCCCGATATCCTCGCCTAGATTGCCTCACATTCCAGGTCGAAGACTTGTCTTCAGAGGTTAATCGCCGGCGCTTCGCAATCCTTTCTTGCAGCTCTTCATCGGATATCTCCAACCGAATAACGCGATTTTCAACATCGCACACGATCATATCGCCGGTCTCAATAACACCAAAGGGTGAGTCTGGAACAGCAGATTCGGGCGAGACATGTAGAACAATCGTCCCTCCCGCTGTGCCTGACATCCGGCCGTCTGAAATCCGAAGCATATCTGTCACCCCTTGAGCAGCTAGCTTGCGTGGGATGGGAATCATTCCCGCCTCAGGCATCCCAGGGTTCCCGATTGGACCGATGCCTTTCAGCACCAATACCGAGTCGGCTGTCACGTCAAGGTCAGGACTATCCAGCCGTAAAGAAAGATCCCGAGGGTTCTCGAAAACGACGGCAGGTCCGGTATGACGGAGAAGACGTTTGTTTTTAGATGCGGAGGCTTTGATCACGGCCCCATGAGGTGCGATGTTGCCCTCAACAACCACCAAGGACGAGGAAGGGTGCAAAGGATTGAACAATGTACGGATAATATTCCGAGAGTACTCGAAGTCTCGGAAAGGGCTGCGATCCAATACTTCACCAAGGGTCTCGCCTGTGATAGTCTTTGCTGAAAGACGGAGGAGCGGTCGTAGACGATGCAGAAGGCACAGCATCCCGCCAGCGTTGTGAAAATCGGTCATATAATTATCGCCGCTTGGTTTCAGATCGACCAGAAGCGGGGTGCTACGACCGACCTCATCTAATGTTTGGAGAGTTATAGACCCACTAATGTCGGGGTGGCGGTTGATTATGGCCATCAAGTGAACCATGGCATTAGTGGAACCACCGATCGCTTGGAGTACAACTGCGGCGTTGTAGAACGAATCGGAGGACAGAATTGTCTGCGGTGATCTTCGACTTTCCGCTGCAGCAACAGCATTGGCACCTGTTTGCTCCGCGATTCGCAACCTCGCCGCAGACACAGCAGGGGCAGAAGCGCCGTGTAGGGGAATCAAGCCTAATGCCGCCGTGATGCAAGCCATAGTGCTCGCGGTACCCATCACACCGCAGGTGCCAATCTATTCCACGAAAGGTCAGTTTCGTACATGAGTGATTGGTCGATGAAGACGAACCGTTGGTGCCAGCTCTTCATTAATAGCCGCAATCTCTTCCATGTCAATGGTTCCGGCACGGTATGATGCCCAATTGTTTCTGCAATCGGTGCATGCACCAATCCGCTGTCCCCTATGACTTCCTGGCATCATAGGCCCAGTCAGAAGAGGCAGGACAGGCTTGTTGGCTGAGATACCTCCCATAATCTGGGCTGGAACTGTCTTGTCACAACCTATCTGATGTCAACATCATTGGATTTAGATGGGTAATCCGCGTGGTTCCCACCTCCGATCATAATGCACGCATCAACGGGCTGCGCCCGAATCATCTCCTCAGTATCCATACTCATTAAATTCCGCAGAAACATGCTCGTCGGATGCGAAAATGATTCGTGCAAACTGATGGTGGGGAAATCAATGGCTATGCCACCATTGAGATGGATGCCTCGCTTGGCTGCTTCGATTAACTGCGGCGTGTTTCCATGACAAGGATTGAACCCGGAGCCAGTATTGATGATGCCAATGATTGGACGCGAGAGGGCATCTTCTGAATATCCCAAGGCCTTGATAAACACCTTGCGCAAGAAGAGGGAAAAGTGGGCATCTCCATAGGAGGTCAGGCCTTGTCGCAAACCAGTGGTGGAGGCAACTGGCTGCTGAAGATTATAATCTTCATTCACTGTGTCGTGCCCTTCCATCGTAGTTCTTCGTGTAGAGAGATAATTATTCTTAACTTTTGGTGTATCTCGACATGCATCATTCAGCATTTAATAACGTGCTCGGGCCGACGGTTCTATCGGATGTTCCCCGCAGTAGCAAACACGGAAGTGATCCGATATTCTGTCGATTCCCCAGCCACAACTTCCTAAGGCCTTAGCTCTCCTCAGTGTAAACAATATCCCTTGATACCTTCAACAGCGGGATACAGCGGTTGGCGGCGAATAAACCAAAAATGTAGAAAGTGGCGGGTGGTCTTCGTGCTCCTCAGTCTCCATCCTCACCTTCGCTACAGTTATTAACTTATTATGTGCATTGATACCAATTTAATATGAAATGTATTACACAGCACAAATCACATTAGACCAAGTGTTTACATTCCTAGGCTACCTAATGGAAACTGGCACATATATTCATCTTCTTCATCAACTTCAAAATCAAAACGGACCAAATCTTCCTTGAAAGGGAACATGTAGGTAGAGGTTACCCTGCGATTGATGTCAGCTTCTGAACGTCGGTTTCTAAGCAGTACCATGAATTGCTACATACCGGTGGTGCTCATCACTCGCCTGATATTCCGCCAGCGCTTCCCGATTCTCGTGATAGCTCACCAGAGCGATCTGGAACCCCTTGCTACGTTCAATGGGATCTGTGACACTGGGGCCTCCAACTAGCAGGCGTCCAGCTTTCACACAAGACAGATGTTTCAACTTTTTCAATTCGGTAACAAATGTCTTCTTATGCTCTTCGCTGACATCGGAGCGGAATTTGAAAAGAACTGCGGGACGCAAGTTAGGGACGTGGACCGAAATAATCAGAGCACCACTCACCAATGTGAACCAGGGTCATTTTTGTGAAAGTTGATAACTAGTTTCTCTAGGTTTTAGGAATGAAATCGAGTTGTTCGGTCTGTTTAGCTACTGATACGAGGTGTTATAAATGCTTTAGCATGAACACGCTTCGGATGCCGGCCGACGCTTCTGATCCGAGCGGATGCTCTCCGCAGACCCACTCCACAGTTCATGGTCTTTAGATAGAATAGAATAGACACCCTTCGCTATGTATGGTACTGAGTGTTTACCTTTCGCGCTATGGTCAACTAGCTTACTACTACCGAGTAGGCCATAAGTAGGCCACCTATGTAGAAGTCTCGCCACGGACAGAGAAACAAGCATGGCCTAACATATCGTCGGTCATATTATTTACGCTGATCGGAATATTCCAGAAACAAATCAATATCAATTGCAAGTTCACAATCTATATGTGGCGCACTAGGTGTTTTCGGCCGGTTACGTTCTCCCTGTAGATGATGTGATTCCACCATCCACCACAAGCTCCTGTCCGGTTATATACCGTGCCTCATTAGAGACAAGGAAAAGAGAGGCGTTGGCCACATCCCAAGCGTCTCCCATCCGTCCCATAGGAACCTGTGCATCACGCATCTTCATATACTCCTCCTCGTTGCCTCCTGGAGCATATCGTTTGGCGAGCGCTTGAATATATGGCGTGTAGATCAACCCGGGCACTACCGTGTTCAATCGAACATTCTTTGCCGCATAGATCACGGCTGTGGCCTTGGTGAATTGCATGATCGCAGCCTTTGTAGCCGAGTAAGCCACTTGAGGCTTTCCGATATATCGTAGTCCTGCAATGCTGGAAACGTTGACAACCGAGCCGCCCGTCTCTTGCGTTTCCATGATGGGTAGGACATAGTGACAGGTCAAGTAGATGCTTTTCAGATTCAAATCGACTTGTTGATCCCAGACTTCTTCGGTCATATTCGCAGGACATCCAGGCTCGGACTTGCCCACATTATTGACCAGGATATCAATCCGGCCATGTCGTTGCATGCAGCCGTCTACCAGAGCCTTCACGGATGCCGAATTGGTAACGTCGGTTTCCTGAACATCACACACGCCTCCCTCTCTTTCGATCCGCGCTTTCGTTCGTTCAGCCGAGGCCAACGTGCGATTGCCACCGTAGATCACTGCGCCCTGTTGAGACAGTTTCATTGCAATCGCGGCTCCAATTCCCCATCCATCTTCAGTGGTTTGGCCCAGCCCAGTAATGAGGGCAATCTTTCCGTCGAGCCTGAGCATGTCTGGTATCGTTGTAAAATGTAACGGGAAAACGAGAACAATTCAATGTGGTAGATCCTAATAAAGAGAAGTAATATATGAATGCCCATGGAATCGTATAAGTTTAATACTGGTCTTGATCTTTACTATCGGAGATATATATTCATGTTCTCGCGGGTCCACTCCGTTCCACGGAGCGGAACTTCCGCCGACCTCTAAGCCCATGGTGGATCTTGAAAGACAGTCAATTATGGTTAGTGGATCATGTTCTTGTCTTCTTCACCACGGATATGAGCTCAGACATAAGCCTTGTCTCACCTTTCATGTTAAGTTACACTCAGGGTAAAGGAAACCTGCTCAGGAAGAGGACTGGGACATATCCGCTTCGGTCGGAACAGCGCCGCTTTGCACTATCTGAAGCAATACTAGATACTATGCCCATTTCTATCATATTATGGAACTCGACTTACAGTGTTTCACACCTCAATCCCCTTGGTACAGCATCATGTGTACTAATGTGTTTCATGACATATGCGGTCGTCAAATGCGAGAGCTCTCTGGCCTCTTATGGATCAACATGGGGGACCAATCATTGTATAAGTGTGACTAATATCGAGCGAAATATTAGACGAGAGTTAGAGGATGATAGCCGCCCACTCTTCTCCTAACTCTTAAACGTGAATCAAACCACGCAACATGGACACCAAAACCTGGCTCATCGTGGGGGCATCTCGCGGAATTGGCCTTGAATTTGTGCGTCTAATTCTAGCGAGCGGCCATCGGGTTGTCGCCACTGCTCGCGGCTCTGGGAGTGCTTTAGACGCCATTGCCCGAGATGCGCCTGATCGAGTGACCCTCTTAACATGCGACGTGTCTAGCAGTCAGGGCATTACTGTATGTATACTTAGTCCTACGTTACACCCAGCAGGCAATGCGGATATGCTGATTTCAGGCCTAGAGCTTCATCGACCAATTCGTCCAGTCTGGTGTGAAGAAGATTCACTATGCGGTGATCAATGCTGGCATTCTGGAATATCCGAATGTAATCTCGTCCACCCCCAGAGCTATATAACTGACTACTAACATTCTCCAGAGGGCTTTGGATATGTACGTATACTAGCAACCCGAATCATGCAAAACGTTCACTGACATTTTCCGCCGATCAGGACCTTCGACCATTTTGCTCAGCACCTCCTGACTAATGCTGTGGGGCCGATTATCGTCGCTCAGAAGCTTCTGAAGCTTTCTGATGTCTCCATAGACACGATTGCATTTATGTCTAGTGACTCCGGCTCCACACAGCGTTTTCTCGCCTTTGAAGATGGGTAAGAATATTGCAAGGGGAAGCAAAGACACCTATGCTGATAGACGTATGTGAGCAGATTTGCAGCATATGCTGCGTCGAAAGCCGCTCTTAATCAAGCTTTACGTGTACGAATTCCCTCCCCATCAGCTACGGGCAGAGTTTAATGCTGACCGTGAGTAGCACCTGGCCGAAGAATTGAGGCGCAAGCAACGACATACGGTCATTCTGGCCTTGCATCCTGGCGAAGTCGCGACGTGAGTTCTCTTCCTGTCCGCTAGTTTACCGTAGTGTATGTTTTAATCGCACGATAGAGATATGGGCATGATTGAAACCAGCTGGGACCTTGACGGCGGGCAGATATCTCCGGAAGAATCAGTGATTAGAATGATGGACGTGATCCGGAGCAAAGGTATTGACCAAAGCGGGACTTTTTGGACTTGGGAGAACAAGGTGAGTCTCCATCGTGGACTTTGGGGTTAGTACTGATTGATGTTGAGATTTTACAGGAATATCCCTGGTGATTCCGAGGTCCGTACTGGGATACTGCATGTAGTAGGCTTATTGAAGCAAGTGGAGCTTATATGCGGGGCACATCAAATGAATAAATTCACCAGGTCTCCTTATCGTAGTCTTAGCACCATCATAGTGTTCAGCCAAGTGACCTTCTTAGACTCGTGTGTAGCCAATACAATATGGAAGGCAACTGCGTCGTGTTTGGCCACAATAACCGAAGTAACACATGCCCGAAGAGGGGAAAAAGGAATCAAAAAGCCTGCACCAGCTCTGAAGTTGGGCAAGATCCGGTGCGCGTAGTGGTAAGCTTTGCGAAATGGAGACGTCTAATCGACGGATTTCTGGCTAGAGGCTATGTCGAGGCGCCGTGGCAGTGGCCTGCTGGGACGAGGTTCGATATCCTCGAGGATTGGACGAGAAGGTTCGAGGCAGCGGCCAGCAGGTTAGTTGGGTCAAGTCTCTGTTATAGTATGTCTCACACCCCTTGTTCTCCCTGCCATACTATGTTTAGTCCCCAATATTCATGGGGTTTAGACCTAAGCTACATAGCCACGAATCCGGAACACGAACGGCGCGGCACGGCATCTATGCTGGTGAAGTGGGGGATTGAACAGGCCAAGAAGGACGGCATGCTGGTTGCACTTGAGAGTACTAAGAACGGATGGCCATTGTACGAGAGGTTGGGGTTTAAAGCGGAAGGATCAATCACAATGGAGCTTGAAGAGATGGGGGTGCTTTACGAAGAGATGTGTTTTGTTTGGAGACCTTGGGTGTCTGTTCAGTCAGTAGATATATATAGCAGAACAAAAGAAAAAGGAAAGTATTTCGTCAACACCATCCATATTTCTCATTCCCAACCCATTCAATCTCGTCTTCTTGGCCGCTCCCCCCTCCATACCAACGCAAACTACAAATTCCGTCCTCACCACGGTCTTCTAAGTGGTGAGGAACTCCTGTCTGCTCGATGAGCTTCTGGACTTGAATAGAAGGCCCCCATAGTTTGACACAATGCAGACCCCACTCAGCCGCTTCAGCTACCGCAGAGAGTATCACAGTTCGCAAAGAGCTCACTTGTAAGTCATACTGATCTCCTGCCTCACTGCTCAAGACAGCCCAGTTCTCAATGACTAGCCGCAGGATGTAAAGCGTGTTTGTCGAAGCAGAATCACTTACCGTACTTGATCACCTGACGCACGTCCCCACCTGCCGCACGGATTTCTATATACACCGACTTTTTGACTTCAACTTCAAACCATCACAACTC